CATGTTTTAAAGGTCTATTTTAAGAGATTTTCTTTGAAAAAATATCTCCTGCATTTGGAAGTCAGTTAATTTAAACAGTTAATGCAAGATAATGTTTAGATAAAGTAATTTAAGAAGAATTTGAATTCTGACATTTATATGTTGCTTGTGTCCATTTGGATGAAAGTTGATGTCAGTTAAAAAATGATTCATCTAGCTCTAACCAGTTTGGCTCAGTGGATAGAGCGTCAGCCTGCGGACTCAAGGGGCCCAGGTTCGATTCCGGTCAAGGGCATGTACCTTGGTTGCAGGCACATCCCCAGTAGGGAGTGTGCAGGAGGCAGCTGATCAATGTTTCTCTCTCATAGATGGTTCTAACTCTCTATCCCTCTCCCTTCCTCTCTGTAAAAAATCAATAAAATATATTTTTAAAAAAATGATTCATCTGTGTGAGTATAAACTAGCACCAACATTGCCTTGTCAGCTGGGAAAGCAATTTGGCAATGTGTCAAGGACCTTCAAGTCTGTACCCTTTGAGACAGTTAATTCTAGAGATCTATCCCAAAATGTTACTTCACTCTCCTATAGCCTTATGCATAAAAATATTCACCATAGTTTTATTCAGTTAAAAACAATAGTAGAGGTATAGTTAAGTAAATTGTGGTATAGGAATACTTTGATTTGAATACATTGGTAAGTTATATAGCCATAATCAACTGGCTTATTCTTAGAATTTTGTATATCTATCTATATAAAAGCCTAAGCGACCATCGCAACCAAACAGACGACCAAACAGGCCGCGTCGGGTGACCAGGCTGGCAGGGGGTTAGTGAGGGGCAACCAAACCACCAGCAGCAGGCTGTGTGGGGCGACCCGGCTGGCAGGGGGGTTAGTGAGGGGCGACCAAATGACCGAACAGCAGGCTGCGTGGGGCGACCAGGCCGGCGGGGGCTGCAGTTGGGGGCAACCAGGCTGGCGGGCGGATTATTCTTCGAATCTCGGAAGATAATTAAACTTCATTAAACGCAGACATGACAAGCCTTCAGAGCAAGCCGAGACCTCCATGCAGGGTTCCAGATCAGAGCAGGCAGGCAGGCGAGGGGTTAGGAGCCAGTGGTCCAGGATTGTGAGAGGGATGTCCCCAGGATTGGGCCTAAACCAGCAGTCGGACATCCCCTGAGGGGTCCTGGATTGGAGAGGGTGCAGGCTGGCCTCAGGTGACCATCCCCCCTCTCCCCATGCATGAATTTCGTGCACCAGGCCTCTAATATATAAATAAAAGCTATCAGACTGAAAGTAAAATTGTTTACTAACGGTTTTTAGTGATATGAGGAAAATCTTGTATCCATTTCTTAATTTGTGGAGTAATATTATTAAGCCTGCCGATTTGAATATTGTATAAAATTTTACTTCTGGGGAGTTTTTGTCCTCAGAGTTATTATTTGAGAGTTTCTAATAAAGACAGCCATACTCCTTTTAGGTTGAGAGTAGTCTTGCCAATACATGCATAATCTAATTTACTTTGTTGATTTTTGACTGTTCGAGCCATAGCACCATTTAAATTTTAGTGCTAGCACTTAGGATCATATCCTATCTAGAACACTTTTTTAATAAGTAAAAAAAAGACTGGTGAAGAAAGAGACTCAGAATTTTAACATTGTTTTTTTATTAAAATATGTTTTTATTGACTTTAGAGAGAGAGGAGGGCAGAGGGATAGAGAGAAACACCTATGAGAGAGAAACACCAGTTGGCTGCCTCCGACACACCCCCTGCTGTGGATCGAGCCTGCAACCCAGGCATGTGCCCTGACCAGGAAGTGACCTCTTGGTTCATGGGTCAATACTAACCACTGAGCACACTGGTCAGTCTAGAACACTGACTTGAAACACTTGCAGAATTGTGTTGCTTTTTGAACCTGAAGGAAAGTGCAGTGAACTTGAAACTGGGATTGATAAAGAGAATTCCAGCCTACAGCAGCCTAGTAAATAGGCTGAAATTAGTGGTTCTGTTTTGGATACGTATAGTTATTAAAATGGAAACTCTTATTTCTGGACTTAAACTAAAAACTCAGTTCGTGTAAACAAAGTTTATCTAGCCAGTGGTTTCCTACCTAAAGCATCACATTTTTCTTTCAGTGTCTTCTACATGTAGCTGTTTTACAAGCACAGTTCTAGCAATGGCTTTGTCCCCCATGTGGTCCATTTCTCTTTGTTCTGTTGATTGCTCTCAAAGTCTGCATATTTCCAGGGGATTGAAATGATAGGTTGTAGATGGTCTAACACTTATAGGAAAAAAATTTCAATTTGCTTTGATGATAGGATGACTGGCAAACCATTTTTATCTGTTTCAGATTAACACTGTCTTTGTAATGGGATTTTAAAGATTATTCTATACGGACCACTTCTCTAAAAATGCTTTCTGATTATTTCTCTCTCACTCCCAACAGGTGTGTGATCTGTATGATGGACTTTGTTTATGGGGACCCAATTCGATTTCTGCCGTGCATGCACATCTATCACCTGGACTGTATAGATGACTGGTTGATGAGATCCTTCACATGCCCCTCCTGCATGGAGCCAGTTGATGCAGCACTGCTTTCGTCCTATGAGACTAATTGAGCCAGGATCTCTCATCTGACTTCAAGTGAACCTTCATTTTTTGGTGGTTTTGATCTTTTGTCACTGAGCCCAAAGAGCCAGGGATTAGGAATTAAGATCATGCACAAATGTTTCCTAAAAATTCCTGAATGGCTGCAGATGTTGGGGAAAAGTACGTCATATTTTAGAAACTTAGGGGGAAAAGTAGGATGGTATTTTTATGTAAAGCCTTGACCCAGTGTTTAAAAAAATATAATTGTATTTAGATCTTGTTATTGCTCCAGTACATAGGAATTGTGTAAAGTGTTACAGCAGCTGTTATATGTTTAAATCGTGTGTGTTGAAGATTAGGAAAAAGATAGTGGTTGTTTTTCCTAAATGAAATAACTTTCTTCTTCCCCACCCAAATTCTTTTCTGAAGTTGCTAGCATTTGGGTCAAGGTTTTATTAAAAGCTACATTTTATAACACTGGCACAAAAAAAGTAGTTTTAAGCTTGTTTGCACAGTTCTTTTTTTCCATTGGAAATGGAATTCATTGCCTTAGGTCTTTTTAAATAGTGTATTATTATCGTTGGGGCTGGCTCTATGCTTGAAACCAGTTTATTTATAACCTGTTATAAGTGCTATATCTGTTTGCAGTTAGGAAATGCAGAATTCAAAGTGATCTCCTAGCTTGTAAGCAAACTGAGATGCACTATCCCTTTCTATAAAAAAACATGAGTTAATGTGTCAAGAAACCAACTCTAGTAGGAGTTTAGTATTACCCTTTCCAATGTGTTTTATCTAATTATTTTGGTTAATATGGTGATAATTAAAAGTCAAGGTAAATTTTAAAAATTAAGATTTCTGATTTATTGAGCTTGAATTATGCCACAATGCTTATGTAAAAATGAAAGTGGCACCATGGTGAAACTGAGAAAAGTTTCTCAGTTTTTCTTGTGACCTCCTTCCCTGTTGTCTTGAACCATAGCAAAAGGATACTGCATCTCTTATTATTGTAGTGCTGAGGTTATTGAAATTATACAAAACACATCTCAGTCTCTGTTTCTTGGAAAGTCCTGCTAGCTGACTGGCAAGTCTAGTATAAGCAAGGATAATTAAGATATATGTATTTCATGTTTTGCACACAAATGCAGAATTTGTATAACCACATGACTTCATAGTTGTGATCTCAAAAAAGAAGGAATTTCTCCTTTATTTTATCTTGCAGTTAATGTAAGAACACTGAATCTCTAAGCTTCTGAAGTGTTAGAGGTAGAGATGGTCTAGTAAAGAAGTAGTTGTAATGTTTTATCCATTTTTAGCATGTGTTTATTTTTCCGTATGTACTCAGAGGTGGTTTATTTGTTCAGCTCAGTGATATTACAGCTAAAGAAATCATTCATTAGCAAAAGAAGAAGCAGTTTCAACCTAACAAATCAGAAATGTTTCTTATTATTTTATATTGAGTTGAATATTTGACTCTAACACTTTTCTAGATACAAAATACAAGTATCTTGAAGGTTCTTCATAACTGCGTATAGAGGAATTTAGTATGTCATAAGTGCTTTTTAAAGATTTGACATTTGGCTGTAGTATCCATATGTTGGTTAATTTTCTTATGAGCCCCATGATGGAAAGACTTAAAGATGAATTTGAGAGAAAAAAAATGAAAGTAATTAGATTGTCAGGTTTATTAAATTGTTACATGTATCTTGCTTAATTTTTGTTCATTAATTTATATCCACCCAATTACATAAAGCAAATTTGGAGGAAACACCTGAAGTTGTGCAATATTTTAAGTGATATTACTGTTTTTATCCTTGTGTTTTCTACTTAAACATGATGTCTGTGTTATCAAGTATTATAGTCAGACTTTTTTTCTAGATCTTTAAATTTGGTAAATGAACTTTTTAAAACTCATTTTTTATGTTGCTGTTAGTCTTTCTTTATACATGGCTTCTTTCATAGAAGTTTGGTAGTATTGAAGGTACCAGTATTGAGTTGAATGCTTTTTTTTTTTTAGGTACTTTGTATTCTTTGATTTTGACCTTCAGCTACATGTTAAAAACCACCAATTTTGGCTTTTACTAAGTTAAATAAAGTTATAATACAGTTGTAAAGAGCTAAAGTTAGAGTTGATTACGTAACAATATTTCCCAAGTTTTCTAGTCTTTTCTTTAAAACATATATGTATAGATTTAATCAGTTACTTTTGAATCTTTGGGTATATATAATTTGGGGAAAGTATTTTTATGGCTTGGTATTTCATCATAAATTTAGAAGCTTAATAGATTCAAATTTTCTAAAGCCAGATGATAGGCTCACCATATTTAGATTAGCGTGTTCATGCTTGGCTATAGGATTTAAAATGTCTGAAAAGCCTGATGAGGAAAAATAAAAAGAATTTTATTCTTTTAAATGTAAACCAAACAAATTTAAATACTAGTAGTTTGATTCACACAAACCTTTTCAATTCTATGAGCGTTCTTTGTAGAGAATTTCTTAAGCCAGGTATTATAACTCACCCTACTACCAGTACATACCGTGTGATATTAAAACAGTATGATTTTACAGAATACAGTGGGCATTGAAGTAACAAATTCTCTATGTACAAAGCTCCTTTGTAAGGAAGCATGCATTTTAAAAGAGGAGAATGGGAATCAGGAGAAGAAGGTAAGTTTCTTTGGCATAATTCAGAAATGTATGCAGCTTGGTGGCTACCTCTGCTTACAAGGATATTATCTAGTAGTCAGTTTCTGAGTCAACTGATTCACTTGCATTTAAGTGCATCATAGCTGACATAATAACCTCAACTGGTATTTTTTTAATCTTTATTATTGAAAGTATTACAGATATCCCCCATTGACCCCTTCTAGCTCACCCTGCCATCCATGCCAGGCCTTCACTACATTATTGTCTATATCCATGGGTCAACTAATTTTTTAAACTTTTAATTTTGAAATTAGTGGACATGGGAAAAGTTGAATTTTTGGTCAGTAGCTCCTGAAGTAATATTAAATTTATTCACCTGAATTTAAAGATCATCTAGTCTTTTATTGGTTGGAGAGAAAGCCAGAAAAGATAGTTTGTTTTCCCCTTCCTCTCTACCTCTCTAAATAGCTCTCTTGCTCCAGCCTTACACTCAACTAGACTTCCCTAAGACACAAGCCTGATTCAGGAAGTTCCCATCAGGGGAGTCATGGGCATGAGAGCCAGTATCCTCCTGATGCATTATATTAATCCTGTGGGGACTTAGCTGAATTCCTTCTTCTTTTCCCCACTTGGTCCCAGTTTCTAAGTATTTTACTATTGAAGTCTTTTGTTTCCATTAACTTTGTGCCCCTGTTCTCACAAAGGCTGTTTGATGCTCCTGCTCCCTTTGAAAATGAATTGTTATTACAGGCTAGCCTGCCTATTAAAAAGTTTGGATCTACCCATTTATCTCTTTAAATACATTTTTTCCTAAGGAAGATATTCTCAAAACCTAGGTGCTTATTTAATAAATGCTTGTTAAATAAAGTATAGAGTAAAAATGTCCAACTACAACATTTCATCATTGCATTGAATGTAATTGTTGATTGACCCTCCGTTAGGTGAGATTTTCCTAAGAGCTATCAAAGATAGTATCTGAAATAATTTTTTCTTGGTTCTATATACATCAAAATATGTATTTGCCTATGCTCAGGTAGTGATTTAATGTTCACAGTTCAAATTTAGACAGGGCTTTAGTTTGTGATGATTTAATCAGGGGTGGGGAACCTTTTTCTGCTAAGGACCATTTGCATATTTATAACATCATTCACGGGCCATACAGACTTACCAACTTAAAAATTAGCCTGCTATATTTGGTCAGGCATTTAACTCACCCCTAATGCCTTGCAGGGCCAGACCAAATGATCTTGAGTGCCTTATACAGCCCCCTGGCCGGATGTTCCCCATCTCTGATTTAAGTGAAACATAAGGGTTTAATGGAGTAAATAACTGTAAGTGTTTAGTCATATTGCATTATATAAACATCTTAAAACAGTTCTTTTCCTAAGTGGTTTAAAAGACATAGTAAGTTAATTATGTAGTTAGGGGAAATTTATTGGACTAATTGTTAGTTCTGCACATAGCATTTTTAAAATATGGTTTTATTTTTAATATATATATTTTTTGTTGATTTCAGAGAGGAAGGGAAAGGGAGAGAGTGGTTGAAACATCAGTGATGAGAGGATCATCAACTGGCTGCCTCCCACATGCCCCGTACTGGGGATCGAGCCCACAACAGGGGCATGTGCCCTGACTGGGAATTGAACCATGACCTCCTGGTTCATAGGTCAATGCTCAACTATTGAGCCACACAGGCTGCACATACAGTATTTTTAACTTGAGAAAAATAATTTCCATCTATTTTTTAGTTCCTAAGAGTTACATTACAACATAAAGAAGTTAGTAAATGGATGTGACAAAAGTATTTGGGGAATATTAATTTAAATATACTTTGTAATTCCTTTTATGAGAGCCTCTTACTAAAAGCATCCCACAAAAAAAAATTGATTAGCTTAATTCTAACCAGCCCTTTTTAAAACCATACAGGGGTAAGTTAAAAATTAACAACAGTACTGGGTGTTCAGAGTTTGATTGTTCAGATAAGTGTATCCAGACTTTGCTTTTCCATTTGTTTTTTGGCATTTCCTTGTTCTTTAGCATGGAAATAGAAAATCCCAATGAATCTCTTTACAGCCCATTCACTGATTCCTAAAATTTTTTGAGAGGCATTAGTGAAATTATACAAAAGAGGTTTGGATTTATCTGCCCATTTTAATTGTCCACATTGTTCTTGTTTGCTTTATCACTCTGAGCAATAGGCATTAGCTCAAGACAATTACTGGAACCATTTGACTACTGTTACTGATAGACTAAAACCACTTACCATTTCATAAAATTTTTAAGGAAACTTTAGGAGTGATACTAACTTTCCTTTATATTTTTGTTTCTTGAGAAAAGTTACTGTCCACTTGAAGATTTAGTCATCTTTGGATGCTTTCCACAGAAAGTTTGTTTTCCTCTGCATATGAATGAAGAATGAAGCAGCATTATGAATAAGGTACACATTTTAGGCATCTATGATTGATTATGTTAAAAGGAGCAGCAGCACCTGTTTGCTTTGAACCCTTTCTATAACATCAGGGCTTATAGGCTCCAGATTTCTTGGCACTGAAAAAAGAAGTTGAAGTGGGTAAATGAAGGTTTGCCTCAAGAGTCTAGTCATAGTGGTGAACTCTTGAGTGCTTGTGAGAAGATTTGATGGGCTTTGCAGAAGTGATGAGCCCAGCTTTTATCTGGGGCCACATAGTAATTTAGTCATTGGGGATCCAAAGGCATTGTGTGAATTGGGAAGCCTGGAATATGTCAGAAAGACATTGAGATTGGCTTCTAACACTCTCCATACTCGAGGTGGGAGAATAGGCTACATTCTGCCAATTCCAGAATCAGCCAATCCTTGAACTTTGACACTGTGCAAAATCATGACCTTCTGTCTATGAGGATAGCTGAACTCAGCATATAATTATAAATTAATAGCTACAATTTTAGGAAGTGCAGTGTGTGGGGAGGGGAGATTGTTTTTCACAAACCATTTGTCATCATGGCCCTTGCCGTGATGGGATCTTGACATGAGGAGGAATAAGTTATAAACATTTTTCTTTCTGGTAGTGAGCAGGTACTATATCTAGTAGGGCATTTTGAAATGGTTTGTTATTGCAAGTAGTTTCTCGGGATTATTTATTTCTTAAACTGAGTTAATGGCTTTGAAGATATCTTTGAAGTAAGAAATCACATTTATGGATATGGGTTTTGATAAACTGGGTTTCTGATTTCCATGATGAGCAAAGGAAATGAAATACCAACTCACATGGGCTCTTAGAGCCTGACTATCACTTAGCATATTGAAAGTATTTTTTTCCTTAAGACTAGTAGCTGGTAAAGGGAAGATTTATTTTTATCAGCAAGTTTACAGAAAGCAGAGGCAAGTGTTGCTGGAAATCTTTGGTATGGCACCAGCTCCTAAATTCCATGTTTAACCCTATGGAATCCATTCTTCATGTAGCAGCTAAAATAATTTTGAGTAAATTGGATGATGTCATTCCTCTGCTTAGAACGTGTATTGCTTTCCAGTGTGCTGAGAGTAAAATCCAAACTTCTTAATGAAGATCTGTTGGCTTTCTGCTATCTTCTTTCATAGTACTCTAGCTATAGCCTTGTTAGACTTTCTTTTTGTGCCTTCAAAAATGTCAAGCTTGTTCCTATCTCAGATCTTTTGGAATTACAGTTTCTGCCCTATAGTTCACTTCAGTTGTTTCAATGACTGGCTTATTCTCCGGACCAAACACATCCCCTTTTTATATATTCCTACTAGTATGTCTTCCTTAGCAGACTAAGCTCTATGAGATCAAGATATTTGGGTGAAGGGGAGGAGAAAATAGGGCAGAAGAGAGCCCTAAGGAACCTGAACATTTCTGATTGAGAGGGAGCCATCATCAAGGAAGTTCCCAATGGAAAATAGGGATCTTATAAAGAAGGGCAAAGGCAACCTTCTGATAAACTTTGTCACTAACCAGTACCACAGATTGTACCCACTGTCCTCATTCTTCCCTTCACCTAGGAAAGTTTCTGTATATGAACTTTGAAAAAAAGTTCATATAGTGGATACATGTTGTTTTTGTTTGCCCAGTACCCCATCTTTTTTGTAGTAAAAACCTCCAACTGGCATATGACCCAGTTGTACCAATTGTAGTACCTCACTCCCTTTCTAAGGCAGTGTGATTCTCAAACTTTAGTGTGCATCAGATCCACCTGGAGGGCTTGTTAAAATGTAGATTACCTGGCCTCACCCTTCTAATCCCCTGATGATCTGATGTTGATCTGGGGAAACTGGTCTAAGGGATGGACATTTAATCAAGCTAGACTAATCTGAGTTCTTATCTGGGATTTTTCATACTGGAGGTAGGAAAAGAAGCTAGCTTCTTCTGGTCACAAAGCTGTAAGTAAGGACGTGAGGTCTGAACTGCCACGTACCCCTCCCATGCAGAGAAGCCAGTTCAAGAGAATAAATCTAACATAGGAGCAAAGTCAAGAGATGGAGAGCACTAGAGCCCTTGATTCAGTCATCCCTTAGGCCAGCGGTCGCCAACTGGTGGTCCGCAGACCACTGGTGGTCCACAAGGTCCGAAAGGTTGGTGACCGCTGCTCTAGGCCAAACCCACCACTGCCTTCCCACAGTATATGTGGCCCAATAAATTTCCCACCTAAAGTTAGTATTTTTAGTAGATCAGGCTTTCCTCTAATTGTAAATTTGCTCACAACCTCTTTCCATAGATAGTTATCTGAAAACTGTAGTCCAGGGTGACAGATTTCTGGCCCAATGACCACTTTGACCCACAGATATGATGTTGCCAAACTTAAAATTGAATGCCTTTAGCATACACATCCCAGTTTTCAAATGTTCCTACTTCTTATCGTCTTACTAGAGGCCTGGTGCACAAATTCGTGCACGGGTGGGGTCCCTCAGGGTGGCCTATGGAGTTCAGACCCCAGATTGCGCCCCCACCCTCACAGCCCCAGCTCACGCCCCCAGCCCCGCAGCCCCACCTGGCACTCCGCCTTGGCCTGGTGCCGCCCCCTCACCTGCTCCACCATCCCACCTGTAGGGTGATCGTTCAGGCCTGGGCCCCCTACTCGGCTCCCTCAGCGCCTGGGAGCCAGACGGCAGCTGCGCTCCCCACCACCGCTGCTGGTCGCCGTTTGCGGGACAATCAACGGGGCAGTCAGGCCCCTGCTTGCACCCGCCTTGGCCTGGTGCCGCCCGCTCACCTGCTCCACCATCCTGCCGCGGTCCCACTCTCGTCGCTCTCGTCGGAGCCCATGAGGGCCGGCAGCACCTCCACTGCCGCCCCGCTGCCAGCGCCATGTAGCTGACGCCCACCATGTTCTGCACCGCCCCCTGGTGGTCAGCACACGTCATAGCAAGCGGTTGGTCTTCCGGTCGAACAACCGCCCAAGGGGAAAATTTGCATATTAGGCTTTTATTATGTAGGATACCAAAGCTCTTCTAGTATAAGGTTTGCTGCCCCTCAAGCCTCAGTCCAGGCCTGTCTCTACATCTGTTCAGGCCTCACTTCTTGTCTCTGGAGTAGCTGACCAGACTCTACCTATCCATCTGGGGATTAGAGCCTTTTCCTCCAATAGCCCTTGATCATTTTATGAGCAAATACTGTTGCTTAAGGGTTGCCTTTTTTTCCTTTTGACTTTATTGAAGTTAGACCCTATCCCTACCTCAGGAAGCCTAGTGGCCTGGGGAAACTGCCACACAGACATATGCTGTGTGTTTCAAGCCAAGAGTTTCTAGTGTTTGAGTATTTAGCCAGCACCTTAAGGAGTGGCCTAGTGACTATAAATCAGTTCCAACTTTTAAAGTAATCATTTTAAGCTCAGCCAGCAGTTTAGCATAGCGTGGGCTTTAGAGTTCAACTGCCTGGCTTCAAATCTTTATGCTGCAAAGTAACCAGGTGATCTTAGGCAAGTTATTTAACCTGTTTCAGTTTTCTCACCTGTAAAATGGCAATAATAGTCCCTACTTCATAGTGTGGTTATGTGGATTAGAACCATGTCAAGTGCTTAAACTAGCAACTGGTAAATAATCAGCATTTGATATTAGCTATTTTTCTTCCACCCAGAGCATATAGTGTCTGGTGTTCAGAGGTGTTTGTTAATGATGTGAAGAAAAACAAGACAACCCAGTCCAGTCATTTGTGAGGTGTTAGCTGTGACGTGTCTGATTAAACTTGAATGTCAACTTTAAGAAGTTCATAGTGACCTTTAGTAATTGCATATCTTCCCAGAGGAAGGACTGTATTACATTTTGTCATTTGACAGTTGACTTTGTGCAGTGGAGGCAATTCATAGATTTCTAACTTAGAAGTGAATTTTTCAAGCCCCCAAATGAGGCTCCTTGTTTGTGGACTCACCCTGTTGGGCAGTAGTGAACTTTGCACCAGGTTTCCAGGAGCTGTGCTAACCCAAGCAGAAAGACACTTTCTAGCGTTGGAGAGCTACCTCTGGGGACTGGGGTGAGGATCCCATTTGCTACATGGTTTTCAGAATCCAGGTACCTCTCATTTATTACTGCATTAGTGTGATGGTGCTAAGGACATAAGGAAACAGTTGTTGAAAAGGCACACTGTTAGCTTTAATTTTTAAACAAACGAGAAGTTGTCTATTCCCCATCATTTTAGAAGAAATAAACTTGGGAGTAACTCCAGAAAAAAGTGTCTGGATTTTATTCCTTTGTAGTCACAGGCTAGAGTTTCCTAAAACCTCCTAGTGCTGTTCTTCAGTTGCTGGGAATCGCCCACCTGGACCTCAGCCAAGTCTTGGGTTGGTGTTGGCCCTTTAGGGTCCTGTCTTTGCTGTCAGGTCCTGGCTTTTTGCATGAATGACGATAGAGGTCTTGGAAACACTCCCATTCTGACTTGAAAGATAAGGAATAGGGAATCCTGCCAACACATGGGAGAACTGATAGGGAGTAGCACACTGCTGAAAGCCAGCCAGCCAGCCCAAGGGCCTGTGATCAGTGAGAGGCAGAGGTAGACTTTCCGTTGTCAAGGGCCTGTTCAGGTCATGTTACACAGTTACTACTTCCTAACAACTGAGTTCCTCTGTGTGGCACAGAATGCAGACTTGCCCCAAATGAGGATTATTTGCTCTCTGGGTATCCTGGGCTACTGTTGGGGCCCCTGATTGAGGAAACCTATAATTTCTGGTTAAGTTTTGGCAAAAAGTAGAGTTATGTATCTGTTGCCTCATTTTGGAGATGAAAACCCACCAACAGACTTGACCAGAGTTAGAATTCGAACTGTTGACAGCAGGAAAGAGAGTAATCTAGTCCAAATTACTAGTTTTTAGAGGGTTTGTGATTTTCCTAAGGTTACTCTGAAAATCAGTCAGTAGCAAAGCAGGGACAACAATTCAAGTCTCCTTATTTTTAGGCCAAAAGTCTCCACCTGACCAGCTGCCTATCCAGGGCATATGTGCTGGAAAAGTCTTCAAGAGAAGTAACCAGAAATGGCTCAAAGAGACACAGTGAGAGGCCCATAATGGAATTTTCACCTTCAAAGGCCTCTGCACAGGATATGGTGTCAGACACCCAATATGGTCACCCTCCACTCTCCTCCACATACGTGTTTTCACAGACTATCTCAAGCTGCAGCTGGGATAAAGGAGACAAAATCCACTGATTTCTCTTATCAGCCAGACTGCAGCCAGGGCAGCAGACAGAGGTAAAGGTGACGTAGGCTAATTAATGAAGCCCAGCAAGAAAACAGCAACAAACACTGACAAGGAAACTATCTGGCTAAACTTTAAAATACAAGCAGAAGCACCTAAAATAAAGGTTGAAATAAAACTTTTTATAAACTATTTTGCAAATTATATTTTGTATCTATGGCTAGTACTGCTTTTATACAGCAGCAGGTAGAGTTCTTCTAATATGTGGAGAAGCCACTAAATGCTATCCTCTCAGCAGCCTGGCTCTAGTCACCTCTGACCCTGCCATGCCCAGTCACCTAGAAACAAACTGGTCTCCCAGCACCCAGGCTTTGGAGGAGATAGAGCTTGCAAAGGGCTGCTCTATGGAGAGCATTCTTTTGTCTAGTTCTAACAAATGAGAGAAAAAAACTTCGTAGCATTTCTGCTGTGACAGTACTAAGTGCAAAGGAGGAGCTTGAATGAGGGCTTTCTGCTCTTCTTTCCCTAATGAGAAAATACCTATAACCCATTGCTTCATTCAGTGTCAGTCATAGGAAGCTGGTTGACTGTACATTAATAGATTAACCCACCCAGCTACTGACAGATGCTCAAAAGTGTTTGCTAAATACAGCAGTGCTGGAAGATTGGGAAAGTTGTCTACGGTCCTTCCCTTAAAAGAAATTGCATTCATGTATTTGAGGAGTGACATGTTCATAGATGACTATTTTTACTGTGTCCATGATTTTTCTAGGGAAATGGTTAAATTGAAGTATGCTGTCATGAGATTGTGAATGGTAAAATTTGGTGTTGGTTACTGAACTTGAGTTCTCATTTTAACCGTCCCAGAAGTTGCAAATGCAGGTGCTTTTAGAGACCAGAAAGATAATATAAGTATTTAAAGTAGCCTCTACTCAGCTCCAACTGAGTGTTGCCTTCTTACTTTATGGTAATGAGGCCCCATGTTGCCAGATTTATTTTTTTAAATTAGAAGTCAGAAACCAGACTTATTTGTGAAATCTCCCCATTTTTAAATGTTAACTTGTTCTAAAATTTTTTTAAATATCATGTTGTTCAAATAAAACATACCTGGGTCATATGGTTTCTGATCCAAACTTTCTGCCCTGCCTAAGAATTCAAGCAACACATATTTTACTGAAATACTAGATGTTGCATGTTCTCTTTTAAGTATAAGTTTTATTACTTAAATATCTCTTTTCTCTTAACTGAAAAAAAATTAAAACATATAAAATGTGCCAAGAATTACCATCCTATTTCTAAGAAAAATGCTGTCAGTAAATAAATGTACCTCAGAATGAAGTGCAGAAGATTTTTTAAATAATTCCCAATGGTTTCAATCTGACGGCACCCCCCTCCCCCCAACTTCATGGAACAGAAAGAGCCACACAGGTCCCCTTCTGTCAGGCCTCGGCATCCCCATTCCTTATTGATAGAGACTGATTTCCTACAGATGGATCCCAATGAAAGTTATCTCACTAAATAGACATGTTTGCTTTTTTAAAATTGGACAGATACAAAGTGAGTTAAAACAAAGTGTAAGAAGTAAGATAGTGAGTGTCTCTGTGCAACCCCAAAAGCCTTGAAGCCTGAGGTGCAGACCATCCTGAGGGTCCCTCCAGCCCTGGGAGCTGAGACCGTGCTGACATTTGAAAAGCAGTTTGGCCTTTGGCAGCATACAGATTTACCTCCGGATCAGTATGGGTTAAAGCAAAGGTTACAGGTGGTTGGTTGGTGGTTTTTTGAAAAGCCAACTATGATCCCATCATTGTATTTCTAAGTAAAATGTAAACTGTTCATACATTCTCTTAAACATCACAGTGAAAAACAAGTACCCGTATATGTGATAGGGCAGGCGGAGGGCTCCACCTGCTCTGTCCTTGGCAAAAGACCTTGGCCACACAGGTGAAAATATAGGCTTGGCTTCTTCACGGATACTCATGTCGTGCCATCCCACTGGAGCACCGGTGGACCCCAAAGGCAGGGCAGGGGGTGGGATCAGTTTTGAAATGTTTCCAGGAGCTCTGTCCAGCTGTCTGTCTGCCAGCTTGGGAGTGCTGTGCCAAACTACAGGGACACTGATGAGACCACGGCTCTGCTTACATTCTCTAGAGAAGACTTGGCTTGGAGTGTGGCTGCCTGGATTCGAAAATGTGTCCTTGACTCCATGGAGTAATTCTTGTAGTTTTGCCTGGAAGAGACCAGAGAATCAGACACATGAGGCTGCTGTAGAAAGTGCTTTTTCTTCCGTCTGAGCTGTGGGAGCCCACCAGCCAACGAAGAATTGTAGAGGTCTAAATCCCTGCCTCTGTCTAGAGAAAGTTGGGTGGTCTGCCAATAGGGATTAGCAGAAAGGCTGAGTAACCCCTCACCCAGACATCATGCCCTCTGGAACTCTCTTGGTCCTGATCGGTCCCTAGACTTGAGGTTTCAAGAGGTAGATCTATGGGCTGACTTGAGTGTGATCCTGGGCAACTCACTTACTGCTTCTGGGATTCTAATTCTTCATTGGTGAATTGAGAAGGAAGCCTTCCCACCCTAGGTGAGAGCTGGGCTCCTGGGGACGAGCGCCCCGGCTCTGGACTGCCTTACTGCGCTTGCCAGCACCCTCCCTCACTGATGCCTGGGCTCTGCCCCCAGCCAGGGCTAATCAAGCCTTACTTGGCAGTTTCCAAGAGTTTGACAGCCTCTTCGTTTCTGCCTTGCTCCATAAACAGCAGAGCCAGCTCCAGCAGGGCATTTGGGATCAAGTAGTGGTCATATTTAATCTTCTTTTCGCTGTGGGAAAGAGGAGGACATGGCTTATAGGCTCGCCCTTGAAACGTCCTTCAGGCTTCTCGCAGGCCTTCCCCAAATGGGAGGATCCAACGCATGCCCTCAAGTGGGGTTTCCAGCTCTGAATTCTAATTTGGGAAGGTTCCCACTACCTAGCCCTAGGAAGGTTTAGGATCCACAGTAGATAGAGCCTTCTAGACCTCTGCACCTGGGACCCAACTCCCTAACAACCTATGGCTCATGTCATATCCTTGGCCACTTCCACCTCAGTCCCCAACCCTCTTTTTCCTGGTTGAATTATTATATTGGGAAGTGTCCTGTCTTCAATCTGGCCCCTCTAACCTACCCACCATGCTATCCCAGAACTATCCTTTTAGAACCCAGATCTGCCCTGCTTGGTATCCTTCCTCACTCTCTTCTGTCTACAGGATAAAGTTCAGTCTTGTAAGCAAAACAGTCAGGCCCTTTGCAGTCTAGGTGCACCCCCCTCCCCTTATTTCATCTGCAACCCTTTCCCTCTATAATTTCACCCAGGCAGGAAAAGCCTAATCACTGTCCCTCCAACCTCAGGCATATCTGTGCCAAGCATTTGCACATGCTGTTCCTACTCCACTTAAAACTCCTCCTTCATTGCTTTCTCTGCCCATAAACTTCACAATTTAACTGGCATCCTTGGAAAACCTTTCCTGGTATCTTGAATTATGTTTAGGTCCCTCCTCAGGACACCTGCTGTCTTTTCCACTTCCCTGTGCCACAGCCCGGATCATATCAGATTGAGTTGCCTGTAGCTGTTGATCTGTAACATTTGTAATCCACAAGAGCAAGGGCAGTGTTGGTGAATTACAAACTCCAGGGGCACCATTAACACAAAACTCAGTGTGGATAGGCTCCTGTAGTTGAGCAGTCTGGCAGCCCTGCCAGATGAGGTCTGAATGATCTGTGCCTTGCTAGGCCCTGGCACAGAGCAGACACTAGTATACATGTAGTGCCTAGGGGGAGGCAGTCCTGAAAATTCTACCCAGGAGAACCAGGCCACAGTAGCCATCTGGATTGGGAGCAGCCACAGAGGCACTTACTTGGCAGAGATGCTCCTGAAATTCTCCTCAGCCTCCTGGACACGGCCCAGGTATTTCAGACACAGGCCTTTCAGCAGCTTCACCAAGCACTCATCATCCACTGAGTACTCATTTTCTGAGAACAGGGCAGTGAGAGGAGAAAACAGGCTTGTTCATTTCTCCAACAGCCACTCATGGAGTCCCTACTCTGTGCTGGGCCCTGGGGACTCAGAGGTGACTCACACATGGTCCCTGTCCTCAGGGAGCTCACATCTGGGAAGGAAAGACATACTGAGACGAGGACAATACAGTGGAATCAAGGCTGCTTGATGGAGGCCCAGGGGCTGTGGGAGCCCATCGGAGGCCTTAACTCAACCTGGGGGACAAGAGACAGCTGGGAGGAGCTCTCGTTGAAGCTCAGTCTAGAAAGGCACATCCCCAATAAGGGGTGTGCAGGAGGCAGCTGATCAATGTTTCTCTCTCATCGATGTTTCTAACTCTCTATCCCTCTCCCTTCCTCTCTGTAAAAAATCAATAAAACATATTTTTTTAAAAAGAAAGGCAAAGGTCAGTTACCAGGGTAGAGAAAGGAGGACGGACATTTTTGGTAGAGGAAAATTTCAACTGCAAGTCCTGTGGTCTGACCCAGCCTGGCAGATTCAAGGGCCTGGGGTAGTCACCTGGGCCCTTTTCCAGCATTTCTTCAGCCTTGGTGATAATCTCAAGTATCCCATCTGTGAGTTCGGGCTGCTTCCCAATCACAGCGTAGCCATTCCAAATGTACATCATTTCCTGAAGGTAGGGGAGCAAGTCAGTCCTAGGTTTCTTCAATGGGGTCTCAGTTTCCCCATCTGTAAAATGGGCAGCTCAGATCAGAGGATCACTAAAGGCCCCTCTAAGCTTCTAAATATTGGAGAAATAATTTACCTCAGCACTTCAGTATTTCCAAGAGTTTAAGACTGTCACCTCTCCTGTTCCCCCCACAAGGCGTTGGGCTTGAGTTACCATCACGAAAACTATGAAACACCCTGATTTCCTTTTTCTGCCTTGACTTCTAGGAAGCTCAGAATACTAACATGTTCATTCATAGTAATTTTGTTGCTTAGGTTAGCATTTTCTAAACTATCAAACCAAGTAATAGATGTGAAAGTGATTTGTATATATAAAGTTCTAGAAAGACATTACTCTTATGGTTCTTGTTATGTTCTAGGGAGGAAATTTAAGTTTAGACCAGTGTTTCTGAAGATCATAATATGGTCCCAAGTTAGCAAATGTTCCATTAAAAAAAAAAAAATCCAGGGCCAAATGAGTTAGGAAAAAACGTATTCAAGCTTCTTGAGACTTACCCTGCTGATTGGTATATAAAAGCGCCAAGGTCTACATTATATACACTTTGTTTAGAACAGTCTTACCTAATATATTTCAGAAATCATTTTACGCATAAATGGTATTTTCCAGGTTATAATTTGGGAAATTCTCTCCTAAATTTTTGGTATAGGTGCTTCCCCAACCCTTCCTTACAACACCCCTCCCCTCCCCATTTGATGACAATAGTTTTACTTTATAAAATATTTCTAAATAGAGATAGTCAGGATACAAGTTCTAAATACATTCTATAAATATTGAATGCTTTGATTTATAAAGTAACATTTTATCAGCTGATTATCATAACTGTTCTATGAAATGGGCAAAGTATATGCTACCCCATTTTATATTAAGGAAGGGGGCCCTACCCAAGGTCACACATTAGTGAATAGTAGATCCAGGACCAATAAAAGGTCTCTGAGGACTTTTTCTACTTCTCTGATGCCTGCTAAAATCATGCATGGAATTAGCATCATAATGATTCAGAACATGGGCTCAGAAACCAGACTATTTGGGTTCAAATCCTGACTCTAACTCACTAGCTGTGCAACCTGGACAAGTTATTTTATCTTTCTACTTCTATCTTATCTACTTATTAGATATCTTTCTACTTTTATTATCTATTAGGACTTAGTATCCCCATCTGTAAAATGGGAATACTACCAGCACCTACTCAGAGGGTTATTGTGAGGCTCAAATGAGGCCATGGGCCATGGGTGTGAACCTTGAACACAGCTATTAATAACAATGTCGGCTATTATTATTTCAGAGCTGACTATAACACAATCCCAGGGCTCAGGGCTCAGAAAAGCTCAGTCCAGTGATGGGGAACAGTGTAAACAACAATCACGTGACAAGACTGAAACAAGCAGGGTATGAGCACAAACAGCCTCTGCCTGGGGACAGGGTGTGGGCTGTCTGTGAGGGCTGCTCACTTGTCGCCCCAACCCCCAGCCACCAGCACTTCCTCAGAGGCAGGGCTTGCTCAAACTCCTCTGTCCCCTATCCCAGGTGAATTGTGAAATCCTTTCCAGGCCCCTGAGGCATGAAGGTCTTTCTCCTTCATCCACTTCCTCTGGGCCTGTGGTTGTACCCCTGGCTCTCAACTAATCCCTATAAACCCAAACAAATGCAATCCCAAAAGATCCTCCTACCCACCAGAGCAGGGATTGGCAATGAGATGGGTGTGGGAGCAAGGTAGCGCCTGGACTTCCGGATGGCAAACTTCTCTGTGGGTAGAGATTTCCCAGCGATCTTGAGTTTCAGGCCTGGCACAGCCCTGCAAGAGAGATGAGGGTGGAGAGAAAACCAAGATGGCGGCATAGGTAAACACCGGAGATTGCTGCCTCGCACAACCACTTTAAAAATACAACTAAAAGACGGAACGGACATCATCCAGAACCACAGGAAGGCTGGCTGAGTGGAAATTCTACAACTAGAAGGAAAGAGAAAAGCATACCGAGACTCAGAGGAGGTGCGGTGCGGAAGTAAAATACAAAGGTGCGGAGAGGGCTGGCGGCTGAGGACACGATTGTCTTTTTCAATCGGGAGGGAGTCTCAAGCTCTGAGCTCCAGTTCCAGGCGAGTCTCTGGGGACCCAGACTCATACAGGAGAAACGGGACTGTCTGGCATCGGTTGGAACTCGAGGGCAGCTTTCTCTAGGAGGCACTCGCAGCGATCGTCGGGGCCTCTGAGGGCAGGACTGAGAGCAGCCGTACTGCTCGCTCCGCCCGCCCTGGTGGTCCCCTGGGACCCCGCCCTGCCCAAGCCCTGCAGGGAGGCTTTTGCATATGAAAGGCCTGGCCCTTTGTAATCTGAAAATTACTTAACAAACTGCAGCTGGCCCAAGGCCCCACGGCAACTTGCATTGCTTTACAGCTGGCTTCTGCTGGGTAGCCTCAGACAGAGGCTAGATTAGCACCTCCTTAGATCCAAGAGCCAGTGTACCCAGTGGTCAGAGTGGGACCATCCAATTACAACTCCTCAGATCCATAAGGGACACACTCAGGGGGCAGGCTCAGTGAGCACCAAAGCCCCACTGAAGCAAGTCTTGCCCAGAAGGGTGTCTTCAGCACAGAAGTTCTCCCACCGTAGACACAGCTGATTCTCACAAACAATTGGCCTGGAGGTTAATTCCTCCCAGTGTTACCTACAACAATCAAGGCTTAACTACAACAAGACTGTGCACAAAGCCCACAAGGGGGTGCACCAAGAGTGTCTACCTCAGGTAATTGGAGAGGCTGAGCCATAGGACACTTAGCACAGAAAGCCACTCTATGACACAGCGAAGCATAAAAAATGCCGAGACTGCCGAAACCGGTTTGGCTCAGGGGATAGATCGTCGGCCTGCGGACTGAAAGGTCCCAGGTTCGATTCCGGTCAAGGGCATGTACCTTGGTTGCGGGCACATCCCCAGTGGGAGATGTGCAGGAGGCGGCTGATCGATGTTTCTCTCTCATCGATGTTTCTAATTCTCTATCTCTCTCCCTTCCTCTCTGTAAAAAATCAATAAAATATATTTAAAAAAAAAAAAAATGCCGAGACAAACAGGACACAAATGACAGAAATGGAGGAAAGCAAACTACTGGTTATAGAGTTCAAAACCACACTTTTAAGGTTTCTCAAGAATTTTCTAGAAACCGCCGATAAACTTAATGAGACCCTCAAGAAATCTAGTGAGACCCTCAATGTTGTGATAAAGGACCAACTAGAAATTAAGCATACACTGACTGAAATAAAGAATATTATACAGACTCCCAATAGCAGACCGGAGGATCGCAAGAATCAAGTCAAAGATTTGAAATACGAAGAAGCAAAAAAACCCCAAACCGGAAAAGCAAAATGAAAAAAGAATCCGAAAATACGAAGATAGTGTAAGGAGCCTCTGGGACAGCCTCAAGCGTACCAACATCCGAATTATAGGGGTGCCAGAAGAAGAGAGAGAGCAAGATATTGAAAACCTATTTGAAGAAATAATGACAGAAAACTTCCCCTACCTGGTGAAAGAAATAGACTTACAAGTCCAGGAAATGCAGAGAACCCCAAACAAAAGGAATCCAAAGAGGACCACACCAAGACACATCATAATTAAAATGCCAAGAGCAAAAGACAAAGAGAGAATCTTAAAAGCAGCAAGAGAAAGACAGTCAATTACCTACAAGGGAGTACCCATACGACTGTCAGCTGATTTCTCAACAGAAACTTTGCAGGCCAGAAGGGAGTGGCAAGAAATATTCAAAGTGATGAATACCAAGAACCTACAACCAAGATTACTTTATCCAGCAAAGCTATCATTCAGATTTGAAGGTCAGATAAAGAGCTTCACAGATAAGAAAAAGCTAAAGGAGTTCATCACCACCAAACCAGTATTATATGAAATGCTGAAAGGTATCCTTTAAGAAGAGGAAGAAGAAGAAAAAGGTAAAGATACAAATTATGAACAACAAATGCACATCCATCAACAAGTGAATCTAAAAATCAAGTGAATAAATAATCTTGATGATCAGAATAAACTGGTGATTATAATAGAATCAGGGGCATAGAAAGGGAGTGGACTGACTATTCTTGGGGGGGAAAGGGGTATGGGGGATGTGGGAAGAGACTGGACAAAAATCGTGCACCTATGAATGAGGACAGTGGTGGGGGGTGAGGGCAGAAGGTGGGAGGGGAACCAGGTGGAGGGGAGCTATGGGGGGGAAAAAGAGGAACAACTGTAATAATCTGAACAATAAAGATTTAATTAAAAAAGAGAGAGAGAGTTGGAGGTGGAGGAGGGTGAGAAAAAGCAACAGAGAACTGAGAGTCCCCAGACTGCCAAGCGGCTGCTTGGCACCTCTCTGGGCCTCAGTTTCCCCGTCTATATTATGATAGTGTTGGACTCACAGCCTACATCTTGTTTCACAGGCCTTGACCCAAGACCTGACCACTTCCTATGGGTAGGCAAAGGGCTCCTTCACACCAGCAGGCAGAGGAGAATATACACAAACGCCCAGGCCTGTTCTGCCTTCTAGCTGTCTCTTCTCCACTCCCAGGCCCCATTTCCGGAGGGGCCGACCCCATTTCACAGGGGAGACTAAAACCCCCAAGAAAGGGAGGGACTTGCCCAAGACCGCACATCTGGAAATTTTAATTAGCTCTTGCCACAGGCAGTTGTGGCCTCCTCAGCTGTTTCTAAGGGCAGAGTAAAATGTGGTATGCAGCTAAGCCAAGCCTCCACATCTGGGGCCTCACCCACCCAGCTCCATCCCACCTTCCGATTTCTGCCACAGTCACGGGGTGTGGCTGTGACCCTCAAGCCTGAGCCGCCCAGGAAACAATTGGACCTAGTTGTGAGCTCCCCCAACAAACACCGCCCCTGCTTATTCACAGCAAAACTTTTCTGGGCCTGTTTTCTCCTTTCTAAAATGGAGATAATGATATGAAGGAGAGCAGAATTGTCACCCCACAACATGCCTCTTTGGCATAAGGATTATTTTAGGCTGTTTATTTTTAAGAAATAGCATACACAGGAAGAGCTCTTGAAAACCTAGAAGTTACCTTTTGTGAGAGACATTTCTATTTACAAGGGAGATCCCATCTGTTAGGGCACCTCCCTCTCTATCAGGAAGAGGGCGATGACTAAATCTCGAGATGCTCATCAGTGCAGAAGAAAATGACTTAATTATGCATCACAACCTTACCCTTGTTTACTGTGCTTTTCTGGTCACCCCACATACTGGCTCCCCACCCCCAACACCTTTAGTCTTCAGCTGAAGGTGGTATTTAAGGTGCTGGATTCAGCCATTTTGGTGAGTTGCTCAGTTTTCCTGGGTTTCCCTCCCCCACATATATAGGAGGCATGCATGTTATTTAACTTCTGTTTGTTTTTCTCCTGTTAATCTGTCTTTTATTATGGGGGGAGGAGAAGGGTTTCAGCCCCAAACCTAGAAGAATAGAGGGGGAAATTATCTTCCCCATTCTCAACTTGCAAGGCTGAGCCCTACTCCAGACCCTTTGCAGAAAAAGCAAACACAGCAGCCCTAGCTGGTTTGGCTCAGCGGATAGAGTGTCAGCCTGTGGACTCAAGGGTCCCAGGTTCGATTCCGGTCAAGGGCATGTACCTGGATTGCTGGCACATTCCCAATAGGGGGCGTGCAAGAGGCAGCTGAATCGATGTTTCTCTCTCATCGATGTTTCTAACTCGTTATCCCTCTCCCTTCCTCTCTGTAAAAAAATCAATAAAATATATATTTTTTAAAAAAGCAAACACAGCAGTTACAGGTAAGAATAAAAACAGCCATCCTTTAGTGGCTCCAGGCCCTACACCAGGCTCTTTAAATATATTCTCTATTTGATTTGCAAAACAGCCCTGCAAGGCAGAGGTTAGTCCCATTTTATGGATGCTGAGATTGTCTGAGGTGACACAGATAAACTGCAAAGGCTGGATTTAATCCTGTTTATTTGATCCAACTCTTTGGCTCTCTGTGTGCTTCTCTGAGTGTTAGCAGGTTAACTCAGCCAAGGGTATGTCTCTCGACCTCAGTGTCCTACTGACCTGATGAAAGAGGCTCAGTGGAAAGGATGTTGACAAAACCACTTTGGTGAAAGAAAGCCTCGAACAGACTCAAAGGGCTCTAATAAGCAGCCGCAGGAGGTGGTGGTGGAAGGGAATGGCGGGCATGTGGGGCAATCCTGGGGGAGGGTCCGGGCGCTCAGGGCCAGGGATGCTGTCAGCTCAGGGTGTCTGGATAGACCCTGGCTGAAGCCTACAATGTGGGGTGCAATGGTAGAACTCACCTAAACAACTCCACTTCGTCATCCCCAAACGGCTTGTAGTCGTCCTTCCCAAACATGCTGAGGTAGGCAGCCTTCATGTAGATGTAGGTGGCCTGTGAGAGGCAGGGCAAGAGTCAGGTGTGAGGAGCCCACCTTTCCAGAACAGCTGTGGAGGCTTGTGGAGCTGCAGACCACATCTTACTCTGCCCTTGGAAACAGCTGAGGAAGCCACAACCCATGTGGCAGTTCATTTGGCACAGATACCTCATTTGGCCCAGCATAGGCGCTAACATCATCCCCAGGCCCAGAGGAGAAACTGAGGGAGCTGAAGCAGCTTGAGAACTGGAGCTGGGGGTTAAATCCAGGACAGGCCCATATGAAAGCAGCTGCCACCCTCTCCACTCTGAAGCAATAGAGAAAGCGACTCAAGCAACCAGTGGACACACAGGCAGTGCTGAGGCTAGGATGGAGATACGCAGGCCAGGCAGCAAGGGCTTCTGGGGAGCAATTACTTCTGACTGGGCCCCTGCAGACCAACAGGAAGATTCACAGAGACCCTGAGGATGGACTTCCCAGGCAAGTGAAACAGCTGAGCAGAGCCTGTGTATAACCAAGATACAGATAGGTCGCATAAAGTATGGGATGCATAAACGCGGTGTGAGGCCAGAAGAGTGAGCAGAACCCTGGGCCACGGCTATCTGAACTGGTGGAACTGCCTACTGTGTACTAGGTGCTCTACATACATCACCTCACGTGATCCCAAAGACAATGCCAGGATAGGCACCCTCTGCTTCCTGGGACCTCAGAGCTGCTTGGGGCAGAGCTGGGAGTGACCCCAGCTTTGTGTGGCTTTAAGGGCCTTGTCCACTGGATCCACAGTCACTCCTGCCAGGAAAGGGGCGGCTGTGCAGAACCCCCTTCCTCCGCCCAGGGATCCTGAAAGCTGCACCCCTTCCCCCTAAGTCCAGTGCTAGAGGAGCCTGACTCTGTGCTGCCCTCCAGTGGCTGAGCCTTGAACCACAGCTCCTGCTACGCCAGCTGCTGCCAAGGAACTACCTGCCCACCTGCCATTAGCCCAGAAAGAAGTGTACTGGGTGGAGGAGGAACCGGAGCAGGACATCCTGGAGCCTAGTCTCTGGAGAAGGCGGAAAGCAGCTCCACCTGGCAGCCCCACCCATGCTGAAGCCCAGGGCTACTCCTAGTTCTATGCTGGCCTCGGCACCTCAGTCTGCCCTTCACAAAATGCAGAAAAACTGTTTTGTGGGGTGTGGTGAGAAGAATCACCCCTCACTGAAACCTGTTGCCCATCCCATCTTCAACTCCCTGGTGTCATCTTTGCCTTTTCCCTCTTCCCCATCCTGGCTAGCACTGAGTCACTAAGTCTTCATGATTTTACCTTCCCTCTAGCTCTTGCATCCCACTGGCCTTGAGCTATCATTCACCTCAATTACTGCACCAGCCTCCACACTGCTCCCTGCTCCAGGCCACCAGAGATGTCTTTCTATTGTCCTAGTTTACATGGTGTCTTCTAACTCATCTTCCTGCACCCCCTCCTGCCCCCTGCAAGCCATTCCCCACACCATGCCAGCCAGATCTTTTTATGTCAAATTACATCAGCCCGTCCTTGAAATGTTCTTGTGATATCCCATCACACAGGATAAAACCCAAACCCCTTCTCTTGGCCTGCAAGGGCCCATCCAGTCTCCCCCAGTTTCCTCTCCAATTTCATCTCCCACTGGGTCCCCCTCCCTCACATCATTCTAAACCACACTGGCCCTCCGGGCGGGTTTCCAGAATACATCAAGGGCACTTCAGCTTCGAGGTGGGGGGTGCGCAGCAACCACAGGAAGGGAGTTCTTAAAGGCCAAATCTAAGCCCACAGCATCAAGGGGTCTTTCACTGTCGACTAAAGGCGTGAACAGCCACTCAGGGCCCTTCCCTGACCTGCTCTTCTGGCTCCTCTTCTGCCAATTATTCCCCATCACCCCTTAAACTCACCCCAGGCCTTTGCATGTGCCTTTCCTCTGCCTAAGATGTCATTGTTCCTTCTCTGCCAGGCTTATCCGTTGGCTTCCTCTAAGAGGCTTCTACTCCCCCCAGTCAGCTCACCCACCTTGAGTCACCAGGAGGTAGGGTGGATGTGACACCCGTGGACATCCTTATTAAGGGATACATGGGGCACATTGACGGAAAACTGCCGCCGCCTCCTCTGATGGGAGTTCTGTCTCCCCAGGGTTATCTGTTTTCCCTAATCCCTGTAGTTTCTGTATTACTCTACCAGGGTCTGTGCAGTCAGCCCTTGTCTTCAAGAAGCTCCAGCAGCCCTGGCCGGTGTTTCTCAGTGGTTAGAGCACCAACCCCTATACCAAAGACTCATGGGTTTGATTCTCAAACCTGGGTTGCAGGCTCGATCCCCACCCCAGTAGGGGCATGTGTGGGAGGCAACCAATCGATGTGTCATTCTCACATCAGTGTTTCTTCTCTCTCTCCCCCACTCCCCCTTCCTGCTACTCTCACTAAAAATCAATGGAAAAAAGATCCTCGGGTGAGGATTTAAAAAAAGCAGCAGCAGCTACAGCTAGTGGCTTAATGGGGATAGTTTCTCCATAATCCCCTGCACTTCTACCCACAACCCTTCACCTGGGGACACTGAGCCCCTTAGCAGCACCCTGACTTCCAGCCTTTGACCTTTGTTCTCTTGACTTGGGGTGTCCTTTACTTACTCCACTTCCACTCTAATTCCTCCTCCTTCAAGCTCAGCTCAGGTGTCTCCTCTTCCAGAGGCCTCCCCTGTCTTTGTGGCTGGCTTCCCAGGGCTGCCTCTGAGCTCCCGTTTCCCTCATTGCTGCACGGCGTGCAGTTGTCCACCCACCCTAGTTTTCTGGCTGAGGGAAACGAAGGCTCCACAGGGCAGAGAGGGATGCCCCAACCAATTCCCTAAGAGCCTGAGTTTGGGGGACTCTGTGGTGGCCAAAGGGCTGGAGAGTAGGAATGAATGAAGGTCCCCAGAACTGAGGGTGCTACGACCCCCACTTTCACAGGAAACCCTTCTGAGGAAAACACGAGAGAGAGTGGGGGCTGACCACCCCAAAGTCACACAGCTGGATACCGAGCTGACCCAGCTAGACTTCCTGACACCTGGGAGGCCTGGGCCTCCCTCTGCTGCTCACAGCAGCTGTGTGCACCCCCACCCCCACTTCCCTGTGTAGGCAGACTCAGCTGTCCAGCTTACTCCACAGGAAGGCTTCTAGGTCACCTGTTCAAAAGGTTCCTAGAGTCTGTGCTCTTACTGGGAGTGGGAAGTGATGAGGAATGAATGCTGGGCCCATAGCGCTGGGCTTGAGGAAGCACCTCTAGCAGCCGGGCAGGCTGGGCCTCCTCGGGAGACTTGAGGGACCAGGGAAAAGCAGAGGCCTTTGAGTCTCACAGAGCTGGCTTCAAACCCAGTCTGTCACCAACAGCTGTGTGAGCCGGGAAAGTCACACACCCTCTTAGCCACAGCAGCCCTGGTGTGCCCAACGGAGATAACTGCTGCCTTGTTGGGTGTGGTGTGGAGGAAATGGCAAGCGCTGGGCACATGGTGAGAGCTCAGTGACACCCTGCCCCTTCCCCAGCCCCACCTGCCCCAGACTCAGGGAATTCCCTTTCATTTGGTCCCCAGGCAGGGGTACTGAAGAAGGACTTCCATGCAGAGGTGGGGAGGGATGAGAAATAGGGACTTAAAGCCATTGAGACATGTGCTAAGTATTTACCAATGCCAGATTAGATGCTGATGATGATTCTAAAACTCTCTGTTCAGAATTCTGTGCTAGCATTACTATGGTAATAATGGCTAGTGCTTATTTCACCACTTACCTTGATATTATGTTTTCACCTATGGTGGGCACCTATTTTGCTTTGTTTTGCCTACAGACATCGATTTAATCCCCCAAATGCTTCTTTTGGGGACATCACGCCATTTTTCTTCTGCAACCACCTCTCTTCTGCTCCCCAGCCATCAGTCTTCCCACCCTCTGTTTCCAGGCATTGACATGCAATCTATGCAGACCAATGAGGCTGTATCGTGGGACTTGGGTTGAAACCAAAGGGATGACATGAGTTGGCAGCAGGCAACCCAGGGCCACCCTGCCTGTCACATGGAGAGAACCTGCCTGTACAACAAAGATATATTGAAGAGAACACAGTACAGGTAGAGAAACTAAGTCCTGCATCCAGCCCTACCTGAAGTCAGTTGGCCTAGAATTTTCTGTTGTATGAACCAATAAGCCTTCTGTGTTCTAGACCAGCAAAGTCCAATACAGTGGCCACTAGCCCATGGAACTTTTAAAATTTAAATTTAAGTTAAAGTTAAATAGAATTGAAAACACCCGGTTTCCCAGTTGCACTAGGAACATTTCAGGTGCTCACTGTGCACATGTGGCTGGTGGCTACCGTGTGGATGGTACAGGACAGAACATTCCCACCAGCACAGAGATCCTACTGGACATCTCTCACCTAGGCAGTGCTAGCCATGTGTCTGTCCCTTGTGACTAAAACTCCTGACTGACACATTACAGTTCTGACGTTTCTCTGCTCCTCGCCGTCTTGCATTCCTTCCCACTCTGAGTTCTATTCGAAGTTATGGTTCTGTTTAAATTCCAGCTGGGACATCTGTGTTCAGTTAGGAGTTTGCCCTTGGTCTGGGGCCCATGGCCAATCTGGGTTGGTCCCCCAGTGCCCCCCAGCACTTGATGTGAGCCCACCTTGGACCAGGAGTTCTCCTTGCTGAGCAGGTCGGCGTAGAAGTAGGCCATCTTCCACTGGCCCTTGTAGGTGAAGCACCACATCAGCTCCCAGTAGCACATGTGGTGGAACTGCTTCCAGTGCTGCTGGGCCTCACAACACTCCTCGAAGCGCCGGACAGCCTGTGGGCACCTGCTGGTCGGCTTTCCAGTGCTCCTCGGCCATGCCCACCCACCCTCTGCACCCACCCAACTCCACTGCAGGCCCAGCCTGCTCCAGTGCACATGGTCCACCGCTGTGCGGGAGACTGGCCTCCAGTCCTTATTATTCCCCCAAGTCTCACATGGCCTCAGGCCCAGTTCCTGCCTCTCTCTGGAGCTCTAGTCTTTCCATCACAAAGTGAAAGGACAGGATAGAGCTATCATGGAGGGAGAGCAGGTAGTGGAAAGTGTTAACGTTAAAGCAATGTAATAGCATCTGTGCCTCAGAGCCAACTCCAAAGGTTTCCGTAGCTCCTACGGAGTGAGCTGGATCTGGGGCATCTGTCCTGCTGCCGGAGGAGTCACAGCCAGGGCAGCGGGAGATCCCAGGACTCCACACTGCGGAGTCCATCCTGGGCCTTGGCTTAGTGCTGGGGTCTCTGCCACGACTGTGGTCCTCCCCTCTGCAGCCCCTCCGATGGCTCCCTCCCTTCTATGGAGCCCTCACCCCCTGGCATTCACCAGGTCCAGCCTGTCCCCACACCCTGAGTAAGTGGGTCTTCCCATGTCCCTGCCTTACACCAGCACCTCCCTCTCCAGGAGCGCTGCGTCCTAATCTCCCTGTCAGAACCCTCTTCTCCCCAGACTGCCTCAGAAGTGCCTCTCCCACCCCTGCTCTGCTGTGGGTTCTCTCTGGGCCCCCCTCCCAGCCGGCCTTGTCCCTGAGTATATCTCTGTGCGTCTGACTTCCTGCTGGCCTGGGAGACCCCATTACTCACGGCGTCAACATTGCCTTTGATGGCTTCAATCCGCCCTGCAAAGAACAGGAAGATGGCGCCCTGCAAAGACACATGTGTGGGTCTGTGTGGGCCCATGCGGCAGACGTGGGCAGGGGTGTCTGGCAGGAGGTGGAGCTCACCTTAGGGTATCGCTTCAGGTAGGGCTTCAAGAGCTGCTCTGCCTCCTCGATGTTGACATTCCCGGTGCCTGAAGGAGGTGGGGGTACAACACATGTCACTGCCACCACGGACTCCTGTGATCCTCCCGGCAACCCACCAGGGGCTTCTCAAGGCCTCTGTTTCCCCCTCTGTGAAATGGGGATAATATTCTTCTATCTCTAGAGTGATGTGAGGATTAAATAAGATAGTGCAGATGTCGCCTCTAGCATATCACAGGGCTCAATAACTACGAGTCCATGCCCACTAAGGCTGTGCCCAGAACCCCAAGGAGCTGTCCTCACACCCTCTACAAGGTGGGCATGGACATCCCCATTTCACAGATGAGAAAACTGAGGTTGGGACCTGCTCAAACTATGAGGAAGTGAGTAGTCAACAGGCCCAGGACAGTTGAGGTGGCTCTGCTGTCTGTGGTTTCAGTGCCCCATCCCCAGTCTCGGGGGCCCAGTCAGGGTGTGTAACCCCTCACCCTCTTGGCCCCTGCCCTGAGAGCCAACCACACCCCAGAGGCCCTGCACTGGCCCCAAGGGCACTCCTACCGAGCACGAAGGTGAGGAAGGTGTGGTAGCACAGCAGCAGCATGACGCAGAGCACGGCGCGGAAGCTGTGCCCCGAGGCGCCCTCCGCCAGCTGCAGCAGCCCATAGTCCTGGGGACGAGAGGCCAGGTTGAAGCCAGCAGGCCTGGGCTCCCCAACCCCACCCTGGGGCCCACGGAGGGACAGGGGCCTGGAGGTGCTGCAGGAGCTGGGGGCAGGGTGGCGTACCCAGGAGGCCGGGTCAGCTGCTCCCAGGCTGTACCACCCTGGGGAAGGGGCTGTCCCTCCGGAATCTCAGCCACCTTCCTGCGGGAGCACAGGCTGCTGCCAAGGCCACAGCAGAGGCTCGGGCGTAGGTGTCCCCACCTCCTCCACAGCCCCCCGCCCATTCTTCCCCTTTTCACCTGTTTGGCTGGTGGTGGGTACTGAGGCCCTGAGCAGCCCCAGGCCTGGTAAGGGGAGGAGGAATGACAAGGAGGCAGATAATCCTAACCCACAGGCCCAGGGCACAGATGGGACCATGAGGATTGTGGTCTGGGAAGGCTCCCTGGAAGAGGAGGCTCCAGAGCCTGGCTGGGGAGGAGCAGAAGCCAGACCCCACTCGCATCCCTGACGGCACTCTGCCCCTCAGTCTGTCCTCCATGTTCCTGTGCCTGCTAGTGTACAATCCGCCTCCCCTGCCTCACACCCTCCATGGCTCCCCTACTTCCAGGATAAAGACAGAGCCTGCGCTGGCGCCTCCATTCTGGCCTCTCCGCCTCTCTTCCTGGCCAGGCAGGCTGCACAGCACGCTTCGGCCGGCCGTTCTCAAGCTCTTCCCTCCCAGCATCATCCTGAAATCCTACTTGTGACCCAAGGGCCTTCTTAAGAAAACAAAACTGAAAGGGACTTTCGGAGCCTCCCACCAGTGTTTTCCCGCCCGGGCATGGACCTCATGTGGCGACCATTGTCGAGGTCCGCGGACAGGCCTGAGGAAGCAGGGGGTCCCACGGGAGGTCTTCCCTTCTCAGTGCTCCATCTGTCCGCCTGACGGTGCCCAGGAGAACGCCTGGGCTCCATGCTGGGCCTGTTCAACATCGCTCTGGCTCTGAGCTCCCTTCCTCACGGAGGGAACGGCCTTGGCAGAGACTGGGTTTTCGTAAGATTGTTTGGTCCTCATAGTATTTACTGTTATGATTGTGTTCTGTGTAGCATATTTACTTTAAATAAATTTAAATAAAACATATGAGTCATTTTTCAGAAAAATAATATGTAACTAATAATATAGAGGTCCGTGCACATGGCAAAAATCAGCAAGGGCTAGAAAAAGTTCAAATTTGAGAAACACTGACCTGGTTTATTTATTTATTTTATTTTATTTTTACTTTTTAATACAGTGGGGCCTTGACTTATGAGTGTCCCGACTAATGCGTTTTTTGAGATACCAGCTGTCTCTCGGCCGATTTTTTGCATTGAGTTGACAGAGTAATTTGAGTTAACGAGCTCCTTAATGAGCTCGGTCTCGGAACGAATTAAACTCGTAAGTCAAGGCCCCACTGTATTTTTATTGATTTCAGAGAGGAAGGGAGAGGGAAAGAGAGATAGAAACATCAGTGATGAGAGAGAATCATTGATTGGCTGCCTCCTGCACGCCCCCAACTTGGGATCGAGCCTGCAACCTGGGTATGTGCCCTTGACCAGAATCGAACCCAGAACCCTTCAGTTTGCAGGCTGACGCTCTATCCACTGAGCCAAACCAGGTCGGGCACTGACCTGGTTTAAAAAAAAAGCCTTTGTTTTACTGAAAAGAGGCTCAGTGTCACAGGGAGAAGGACATGCCTTCTAGGCTAAGCTCCTTCCCTCACACGAAGCCTCCTCCGCCAGGGAGCCCTCCTTGATCTGCTACTTGGGTACTCAGGTTCCTGCCCTCAGTAAAGTGAGTCTGGTTTCCCCCTTCAAGGCCTGATGCATAATAGGGCTTCTCTTGGGCATGTCCCAGACCAGAAGATAGTCCAGAGGAAGGGACTTGCTCTAGCTCTTCACCTGTCAGGCTCAGGAAACAAGTCCCAGGCCCCTGCACAGAGCTGCCTTTCACAGCCACCTCACCCCTGTGAGGTGACCAGGCAGGGCTCATGGCCCCACTTGACTGGAGAGTAGACTGAAGCCCAGAGAGGTCTGGGCCTTGTCTAGGGAACCCATACCGAGGAGGGGCTGAGCCAGAACTGGCCCCTTGGCCCCACAGCCCCTCAGCCGCCTCTCATCTAGCTAAGTTCCAGTCCTGGAGCTGAGGGGGTCTAGGGTCCCAGAAAGCAGGCAGTTACCTTGTTTCCTGAAAACCCCACGAACTCCAGCAGCCTCAGGATCCTAGTAGGAAGCATGGACAGCGTCTGCAGGAACAGAAGCAGGTGGGCACATGCAGGGGCAGCTGCCCTTCCCACTCTCCAAACCCCGAGAGTCCTGGGGGTGCAGGCCCTGTGTCTGCAATGCCAGGTTTCCTGGAAAGCCAGCTTCCCCAGACAGAGAAGTATGACAGTCGACAGGAGCGGACTGCGCCCAAATTCTCACCACTCCCAGCTGGGTCACCTCGGGCAAGTTACATTTCCTCTCTCTGCCTCCGTTTCTCATTTGTAAAATGGGAATAATAATAGCCCTTACCTCATGGGGGTGCTGTGCAGATGGATCAAATTAATCCATGTAAAGCCCATAGAAGGGACCTGCACTTGTTAGTCAGCTATTGTTGTTACTATACTGAACCCCACTTTGGACCAGGGGCTCTCACTGCATTTGATCCTCAGAACAGCCCAGCATAGAGGGCTCATTGACCCTTTTGACAGATGGGGAAACTGAGGCACAGGTCAGTGACAGGACTGTCCAAGGCCCCAAAGCTCATCAGAGGTGGAGGCAGTCCTTGAAGCCAGGACGGCCCGGCTATAACCTGCTAAAGCATCCACTGCACTTTGCAGCTGTGTTTCTCAGCTCTTGGCCCAGGATCCCAGCTCCCATTTTACATGAGGAAACTGGAACTCGGAGTGGGGCTGGGACCCCTGCCCCAAGGCCTGCTCTTAGAACAGGCTTTGCCTGAAGTGGAGAGAGCTGCTCCCACCCCCTACCCACTACCCCATATATCACACACACACACACACACACACACACACACACACACTCCTCCCAGGTGCAGGCGTGGCTTTTCTGAGCCTCCCTGCTAACTCCTACTGTTCCTTCAGCCTAGGATGCCCTTCCCTGCCTAGAAAACTTCCCCCAACTCCCCCAGGAAGGAGTTTGGCTCTCCAGTCCCTGTGGGTCATCAGCTGTTTCCGGGCCTGTCCCCTTCCCTGCCATTGGTCCATGTTTAACCATCAGCCTCCAGGGCTGAAAAGGCCCTGGTTTACTGTTTGTCCATTTCTGGTGCTATAAATACTGCCACTACAGTAGATTTTAAGCTTTCAACTTGACCTGGGAAGAAATGCACAAAAGGGACTCTGGATCCAGTGCCAGCACCCACTCCACCCCCACCCAAACTGGGCACCCCCCTGGCTGCAAAGGTCAGCTTCACCGCTGGGGCCAGGGTTGGCACAGAGCCAGGAGCCCAGCAAAGACCATGTGTGTGGCGGGATGTGCAGGGGAGATTAATTTTGAGCCCTGACACTGGACATGAGCAGGGGCACTCCCACTCACCAGGTTGAAGGCACCCACACCAAGCTTCACGCCTCCTTCAAAGTGCCTGTGGTTCTCCCCCTTGCTGTATTGTGAGGACTGCACGAGGCTGTCCAGCTCCCTGCAGGGGGAAGCAAAGCACATATTGGGGGCTGGGTCTCCCCCCAGCTGCGCCTAACAATGCCCCATTCCCAGCTGACCTCAGAACTCTCGGCAGTAGAGTTATAACAGCTCCAGCAATCCAGGCAGCTGGTATTGCCAACCACCTCTCCCTCCGTAATATCACACTCCTCACCCCTAAATGTCAGCCATATCAGCCACAGCGCACTTGCCTTGTCCAATACCTAGGCGGTTGCTTGTGCTCTGCATTTTGTCTAAAACACTTTCTCAACCTCAGCACTACTGGCATTTTAGGCTGAATCATTCTTTTTTGGGGGGTGAGGGAGCTGTCCTGTGCATCATAGGCTATTTAGCAGCATCCCTGGTTTCCACCCACTAGATGCCAGTTGTGACAAACAGAATGTCTCATGGGGGGGAATTACCCCCAGTTGAGAACCACTGGGCTCAGTCCAACACCCCCCCCTCCTGGAGTCTCCTGGTTAGAATCCAGCTCTTCCTCCAGCCACTAACTGCACAAAGCCCGTACCACAGCCGGCCTGGGGCAGCACAGAGGCTTTCACGGTGCGCCTGCCTTCTTCCCTGCCTTAGGCATCTTGAAGGCTTTTAATCAGCAGACACTGGCGGAGGCCTCTCTGCGCCAGGCACTGAGGGACCACAGGGAGCCACCCAGCTGCTGCCCTCCAAGTCTCCCACTCGGGGGACAGACCCCCAGGGGACCTGTGACGATAAGGACGGCCTCAAAGGAGAACCCTGGGGCTTGATGCAGTCTGGGCTTCAGGGAGGGCTTCCCTAAGGAGCTGACATTTGAGCTGAAAACTAAGGGGTGAGGAGGGATGAGCCTGGCACGGAAAGAGTGTTCCTGGCAGTGAGAACAGCATGTCCAAAGGCCGTGAGATGGGAATGAGGTGGGCCCTGACCCAGGACCTTATTCTAAGGCGAGAGGAACCTCGGAACTTGGCAGGGGGTGGCCTGACAAGGCTTGTGCTTTGGAAACATCCCGCCGGCAGCTGGTGGGGAGGCTGGAGGAGCCAGAATGCTCGTCTGCTTTCCCTCACACAATTCCAGCACAGACCCACCACGGGTGGGGTGCCCACATACGCATGGTGTGTTACACCCAGCAGTACCTGCAGTCACACTCCAACTCTCTGCTGGGAAATGGTCACATTAAGTGGGAGCAATAGAGATGATAAATAGTCTCAAGTCAATTCAAGGAAGCTTTTCATGGAAAATGATTGTTAACGCCAAACTTGGGGGTGGGGGGATGAGCTTCCAGAGCTCTTGGGATTTGGGCATGATAGATGTCTGTAATACCATGTTAGGTAAAAGTGCTCTGTTTTGAGTCTTCATTCTTTCATCCATAAACATGGGCTCTGCCTTGCCCAATGCTGAGATGGCACAGAAACGACCTGGCCCTCAGGTGGTTGCTTCCATCTTAGGGGGGATGTGGGCACCATCCCTGTGGACTGGAGAGGTCAGGAAGGCTTCGTGGGGAAAGGGGCATCTGGGTGTGTAGGAGTTCTGCTGCTATTCTCAAAATTACTGTCTTTCCTCCTGCCCCCACCATACCAAGCTGTTTGTTCAGAATCTGTGCCTTAAGTTCAAGGTCAGGCACAGAGTAAGAAGTCAGGGGAACCAACAGACACACCCAGGAAAACCAGGGGAATAATATTCCAGAAGACTGAGGTCCTGAGGCTGCAGAAACCTGCCCAGGGTCACACAGCATTCTAGGCGTCCTGCCTCCAGCCAGTGCCCTCCGCCTCCCACAGAGCAGCCTGAGAGGCACAGGGTAGCAGATGCTGTGCCCCAGGACCCCGCCAGCCCCACTCACTTGTAAGTCTGGTAGCTGTTTCGAACTTTGATGCCGCCCTTGATGAAGCTCACCATGTTCTCATCCTGCAGGAGGGAGAGATGCTAAGAGCTGGGCCCGGGTGGGTAGCCAGAGAAAGATCATACAAGACTCTGAGCCCTGCCTTCCCCTCTCTAGGTCCAGCTCTATGAGGGGCCCTAGAGAAGTGGTTCTCAACCTGTGGGCCGCGACCCCTTCGGCGGTCGAACGACCCTTTCACAGGGGTCGCCTAAGACCATCCTGCATATCAGATATTTACATTACGATTCATAACAGTAGCAACATTACAGTTATGAAGTAGCAACGAAAATAATTTTATGGTTGGGTCACAACATGAGGAACTGTATTAAAGGGCCAGAAGGTTGAGAACCACTGCCCTAGAGGGAGGGGGTCAGAGGTCAGCCAAACCAGGTCTCCCTGCCCTTGGGACTTGAGATGGGGTCTTGCTTACCAAACAAGCCCTCCAAAATGCCCCCTTTGTGCTGGGAGAAAGGCCTGGAGGAGACCCTCCCCATGATTCCCCCATGGTTCCCAGTGCCTCCTCTCCGTGAAGGAATGTGGGAAAGGAAGAGGGGCGCTCATTTTTGTGTTGTTTGTGTTTTTCACAAGCTGGTATTTATCACATCTGTAATTTAGAGCACTAATACCTACAGCCCCCCCAGCAGTTCCACTCCTGGGTGTACGCCAGGAGAAATGGATGAACATGGGCTGTGGAAGTCGCCTTCGAGAACGTTTACAGCCCCGCTGCTCCTAGCGGCCAAGACCCAGAACCACCCAAATCCCCTTCGGCAGGAGAATGAATAAACAAACTGGTGTATTCACAGAAAGAACATCACACAGCCACAGGATTGGGTGAAGGAAGCAAGTCCCACACAGCTGGAGGCCTTACGAAGCTTGACGCCAACTAAAACATAATATGCTGTTCAGACATGAACTGGAAGATGAAAAGGCTATTTTTTAAAAATAGGATGGGGAGTGATTAACATAAAACTCTAGCTAGTGTTTCCCCCCTGTGGAGGGAGGCAGGGCACAGGGTAGGAGGGGCCCAGAGGGGAAGAGACTTGCTAGCAATGTTGTGTTCTCCAGTTTGGGGGGGGGGGGGCGGTATTGAGCGTTTATTTATTATGTGTGATACTAGAATAAACAAAAGGACATTCCTGGTGCAATTATTACAGTGATCCTAATGAAGGATTAGGATTAAATCCAGTTCTAATCATCAAAAGTCCAAAAAGATAGAAAAAATAGCAAAGAAAAGTAAACAGCACCCCAACAATAAAATTTATATGTGCTTTTCCACCCTAATATATATGTTTACATGATGATTATATGTGACAATTATAACCCAGACTTTTTGGTAAAATCATGAGGTGATGGTTCTCTAATTACCATCGTGGGTAAGGAGCCCAGGTTCCTAGTCGGCCAGGTCTGGGTTCAAATCCCAGCTCTGCCCTTTGCTAACCACGTGACCTTGGGACAGCGGCTCCTCCCCTTTGCAGGTCTGCGAGATGAAGATTAAATAACATATGTCAATGTCTGTAAGCACAAACACGCAGTGTGTGTAAGGTATGTAAAAGCCACACACCTGTAATGTATGCGCAAAGTCTGGTACGTTGTGGAAGATGCTACGAGTCAGCTTTTTGAATGAATCAAGTCAACTTGTAAAGCAGGCTCTGTGCCCGTGCCTGTCATCCCCTGTGACCCTCAACAGGAACACAGCAGTCGGGAGATGGAAGCGCATCCTGGTAGCGGATGGAGCCCACACCTCTGCCACTGAGCCTGGCCAGGGCTGGGAGTGCTGGGGTGACTGAGCCTCAGTCCTTGCTGAACCCCAAGGGAACTGATTGTGGCTGCTGTAGACCCTCCTGCCTTTGACATGGTGGCCCACCTTCTGAACGCCCCAGGCTGCTTGTATAAGCAGGGGGTTCCTACCTGCAGGAAAGTCAGAGCTGCTCTCTGCAGCAGGCATTCTGCGTAGCAGACCTCAGCGTGGATTTCCTCTGTGGGGAGAAAACCAAAGCCCTGTGGCCTCCTGGGACTCCTGGCAGGAAGCTTGGGCCAAACCCTCCCCCCCTCTCCCCACCGCCACTTCCCACGCCCTCCACCCCATCACCCAGGTCAGGTTCTGCAGTGCCCACGCTGGTCTGAATTCTTTGCTTGCATTTCCTGCCCCTGGTCTTCCACCTGGTTCCCCCACCCAACACCCAGATGTCAGCACAGGGCCCTCAGCCTGCTCTCCTGTCCTCCAAGCCCCACTATGGCTGTGCAAGGAGATGAACAAAGAAGCTGTGGGAGCAAGGGAAGGAGACCTCACGGCCAGGGACGCTTTCCAGAAGACAGGGCATTTGGGTTGAGAAAGGAAGAGGCCCAGGAGAGCCAAACCATCCCAATGTTGGGGGACGGCTGAGGCCCAGGAGGTGGAAGTGGGGTGAGGTGGGGGAGAGGGGGGCAGGGAAAGAAGAGGCGGTTTGCAGAGGGACCTGAACACTGGTGGGGGATTACAGACTTGGTCCTGTGGGCAGCAGGGAGCCAAGGGAGGTATGAAGGAGGGAATGGCACCATCATATGCACTGATTCTTGCTGGAACCTTCTAGGGCTCTCGAGGTGGGGAAGGCCATTTGCCTCTATATTGAAGAGCCCCAAATTGTTCATGGTTGCCTGCTGCTACCTCCAGGACTGTCGCGTGGGGCACAGAGACACCACACGGCTCTGGCCACACAGACCATCTTCCACTGCCTTCGGCTGCCTTGTCATTCCCTCTGGGGCAGACAGGATCACTGCTACCTAAACCAGAAAACCTAACTGCACACACGGTGCTCAGCCACCCTGGCCCGAGGAACAAAGCACACAGACTCTCTTGCGCTGTCTTCCAGGTCCTCGGCAGGTGATGCCAGCAGGCAAGAGAGTCTTATTTGCTCTCCCTTCACCAGAGAGCCACTCCTCAAAACCCATGTGTGTCCCGGCACCAGGCCAGGGCTCAGCCCCCTCAGCGAGACTGGGAGGGTACCCGCCCTTCCTGCCCCTCCCGGGGCCTGGGCCTGGGCTGCCCGGGGCCAGCAGGGCTGAGAAGACATCTGGGTGCCACACCTTCCGTGAACTGATCCATGGTGGGGCGGTGCACAAGGTTGCTGAAGGAATCTGTTACAGAGGACTTCTTCCGGTACCTGAAGAGGAGGAGGAGCCTCTGATCATTCAGGGAGTGTGAGTGAGGGTCCCAGGTGAGCTCCTGCCCCTCCCCTAGGTCCCTACACACTGAACTCCTGGCGACTTCTCTAGATCCAGGGCTTTCTCACACCTGGGCCCTGCTGTTGCCTCTGCGTGGAGCCCTCTCTCCTCCCTCCTCTGCTGCTAGTCATCCTTCACAAACCAGCTCTGGCATCACCTCCTCCAGAAAGCCTTCCCTCCCCTCCAGCTGAACCCCAGGACCCCTTGAGCTTCCCTATGTCACACTGGGATGCCACTGTGTATGCCTGTCTTCCCACCAGGCAGTGTGAGCATCAAACTGGCCGGGGTCTGGTGATTTGCTGGGTGGCCAGCACCCCAGCACCCAGCACAGGGCATAGCCTAGGGCAGCAGTCGGCAAACTGCAGCTCGGCAAACTGCAGCTCGCGAGCCACATGCGGCTCTTTGGCCCCTTGAGTGTGGCTCTTCCACAAAATACCACGTGCGGGCACACACGTACAGTGCGTTTGAAACTTCGTGGCCCATGCGGAGAAGTCGGTATTTTGTGGAAGAGCCACACTCAAGGGGCCAAAGAGCCACATGTGGCTCGTGAGCCGCAGTTTGCCGGCCACTGGCCTAGGGCAAGCATGATTGTGTGCCCAGTGAATGACAGTCACCTGTGCACAAACACTCAGGGTCTATTGATTCATTAATTTAAGCAGTAACAATACTGAACACCAATTACACAGCAGGTCCTGTGACTTGTATTTTCATTCAGTCCCCATGACAACCCTGTCATCGCACCCATTTTATAGATGGGAAAGTCGAGTCCCCAGAGGGAGCAACCTAAGGTCAAAGAGTTATTAATGACAGAGCCAGAATGTGTCTCCTAATCAGGCCTGGCCCTGGGAGCCCAGTGAGTGGCTCAGATAACAAGTTTCCTGGGGCAGTGCTGACAGGGCTGGCTGTTAGCCTTGGGGACACAGCCTCTTTGCCAAAAGCAGCAGTGCTCATAATGGCATTTAGGCACTGGGATAGGCCAGGGTGGCAGAAGGATGGGCCTCATGACCCCTCAGCCCTGTCTGCCCCAGGGCCCGACCTCTGACACAGCAACTGCGCCTCCTTCATCATGTTGCCAGCAAGTAGGATGTCCTGAGGGTCAAAGGTCATCATGGCCTGCATCTCCAGGATGGTGGCATACGTCAGTGAGTGGTACATGCTCTCCTTGGTTCTGCCAGAGAGAAAGGACATGAGAACACCAACTCCTAGAACTTCAGAGACAGCTGGCCCTGTGCCAACTGCCCACCGTCCCCCTTCCATTCTGCCTGGGGGTGAAGGGAGGTCCAGGGAGGGGCAGAGACTTGCCCAAGATCTGAAGACCTGGGATCCCAGCAAAGTGGCTATAAGTGACCTTCCAAATCTGAGCCTCAGTTTCCCTTCTGTTCTGTAGAGATAACAGCAACAGGCTGCTGTGAAGACTCCAAATTGGCCTAAGGCCCCACTTCCCCGCACTCAGGCAGGGCCCACCTCTACCTTCTGCCTCTCCTCCCACAGGTGCAGGCAGAGGGAGCCGGTCTTTTCCACGGGATCTTTCCTATCCTCAGCCCCACCCCTGGGCTTCCCCAGTGCTTGTTCCAGGTCCTCCTCCTCCCACTGCCTGCCTTTCCCAGTCCACCCTCAGATCACACTGCTCTCTGGCTAAGCCTCTCTGGTTAAACCCTCCAGGCTTCCACCTTCCAAGAGATAACACTTGGGTCCGAGGCTCCACACAATGCAGGCCCTGCCCACCTCTCCAGCCCAGTGGTCCTGTCACTTCTGCTTCTGCCCTGTGATCTGGTCGCTTTCAAGACTGAACCTCACATGCTCTCCTCAAGAAAATCCCTCCTCCCAGGTCTTTGTACATGCTGTTCCCTCAACTTGAAATACCCTTCCCTTCCCCTCCTATTCCCTGAGCATCAAGGCCACTTGGAATCCAGGGCTCCCTGTCCAGGGAGCCTGTGTCTGTAACTGCGGAGAGGCTCAAACGGAGCTTGTATCCGCAGAGTCACAGCTCCCTCCCCAGAGCAGGCACCTCAGGGACAGAGCTGGTGAGGATGCATCTGTCCTCAGCACCAGTGCACCTCAGGCAGGAAGCCTTCCCTCCAGCCTCCCCAACAAAAGGGTGTGCTGGGGCTGGGGTGGGGAGTGGGGAACATTTAGTCTAACACATGGAGAGAGAGAGCAGCAGGCAAGTTGGAATGAGAACAATGCCAGTCCCTCTCTGTACTTGGGGAAGTCAGAACGTGTCTGGGCCTTGATTTATGTTCCTGCAAAATGGGAACCATCATGCTGGTCTGCCCAGGTCCTTGTGGGCTGGCTGGGGAGTACCCTCACCTGGCACACAGTAGGTGCTGCCGTGGTTTCACTCCCTTCCCCACATCCCCTCATTAATTACTTAGGAAACTCCTCAGTGCCAGGCTATGCTGGGAACTTCAGGGCAGAGAGATGACTAAGGTTTATAGACTGTGCGATTGAAAAATCACGTGATTTTACCCGTTTTCCTGCTAGTCTCATTCACAAAACACCTCTGTAGGTTAAGGTGCTCCTTTACTTCTGGGCCACCTTCAGGTGAGGGAGTTAAAAGACTCTGAAGGAAACCAGTGGCCGGCCCCATGCCTCCCCAGCCTGGGACTGTCCTCACCTCCCAGACCTTTGCTAGGACTGTTTAATCTGAGGGCAGTGGCTGTGGAAAGGAGGCCACGGCCTGCAGTGGGGGCGGAACTCAGGCTTCTGAGTCCCTCAGACACAGGGTGGCATCTGGCCTTTGCCAGTTACCAGCTGTGAGGTTCTGGTGAGTCTTGTAGCCTCTCTGAGCCTCGAGTTCCTCCTCTGTCAAATGGATACCATGACCCTTCTCTCCCAGGACTCTGGTTGCTTAAAGAGGATGCCCAGGCCAGGGCCATATCGCTGATGATCAACAAATGTGAGTTCCTCCATGTCCTGCCAGGGTCAAGGGTCACTGCCCAGGATAAAAGCTTATTCCTTATTAAAGAGGGGTTTCTTTTAGCACACATGCTTCCCAGAAAACCCCTGCCACCAGGCCTCTCTGACTCTCAAGCCCCTGCCTTTCTCTCCCTCTCTCCCTTAATACCCCCTCCACTCCCTCCCCCTCCCCACGCCTAAGGCCAGGCACTCAGCCACACCCACTCAGCCCCACCTGCTGAGCCCCGTCTGGTGCTGGGCCCAGGAGGAAGAACAGCCCCCTGGGCAGCTGGCAGGCAAAGTGGAATTTCCAGTCTGAGGCCCAAGGCCACCGCATGCTCCTGGCCCCTCCCAGCCCACCACCTGGAAGCTCCCCAACTAAGGTTTGGACTGGGATTTGGGACACAGTGGAATGACAACCTCCCTGACTTCAGACACTCCAAGTTCTTGTTTGCACATATAACATCTAGACCCCGGGGAGCAACAGCCCCTCGGCTCTGAACTGGACCCAGCCATGGCGCATCACGCCCCCCTGGGGTCTCACCGTCTGGTCTCACCGTCTGGGCTTGGACCAGCTATCAAGACGGGGCGGGCATTGGAAGAGGCCCCAAAAGAGCTGGTGATGGAACCAGGGACTCCTTGGCCACCTGGAGGTCAGCTAAGCCCAGTGGCCTCCAGCCCTTCCCTCCTCCGCCAGTAGCCAAGGCTCTGGGCCTTGTCAGCTACTTGTCAGCCAGCCTTGTCCCCATTATCTGGGCCTCCCGGCTCTGACCCAACCCTCACTGATCCTTCCTGGGCACGTTCCTACCTGGGTCCCAGCCTAAGGCCCCACTCTGAGGACCTCTCTGGGCAAGGCTGCCCCAGGCTGGAAGGCAGGGTAGCCCCCCCCCCCCTGCTTCCGAGCCTCTCTATTTACTTAATTCTCCTTAAAGCCCACCCATCCCGCTCTCTGGTCCTCTCAGACCCCACCTCACTGCCCTCCTCTCCAGCCCAAGCACCTTCTAGGGCAGCAGTTGCTAACTGGTGGTCCCCAGACCACTGGTGGTCCGCGAGGTCCGAAAGGTTGGTGACCACTGTTCTGGGGGACTCATACCCCTCGTCCGCCTTCAATCACCCAGCCCTCCCCCTTCTGGGACCTACTTCAGCTCCCTCACTCCACCCAGGCCAAGTGTCTCTGCTCCTCAAATACACTAGCCCCTCCCTCCGTCACTGCCAGGCCTTTGTACAACCTGTTCCCTCTGCCTAGAAATGTCCTCTCCACCTGGCTGACTCCTTCTCATCCAGCCCATCTTAGCATAAATGTCACTTCCTCCAGGCGGCCATCCAGTGCTGGCTTCGTGGTGTGATCTGTGAGTTACACTGGGCCTCGTGCCGAGAAAGGCCCCATGCTTGGGTTTATATTCTGCTATTGCTGTCTTGAAATCCTTAATCATTTTTGAGCAAAGGACCCCATATTTTCATCTTGCAATGAGCCCCAGAAATTATGTGGCCAGTCCTAAAGCCTTCCTGACCAGCCCCTCCCCACATGAGTGGGGGTCCAGGTATAAATCCTGGCACCCTTATGGCTTGTTTCACTGAGAACAGCCCAGGCCTTGCTCAGTATTGCAGCCCCGGACCCCAGCCCGCTGCTGGGCACATGGGTGAGCTCATGAGGTTTTGCTGAATGAACCAGCAACAGGTGCCCAATCACCCATCCCCTGGATCACACCTTGACCTTCTCCTCATCCCACAGAATGGCTCTGCCTCTGGAGTCTTAAATGCGTTCAGTGGTTAGAGCGCCAGCCGGCACACCAAAGGGTCAAGGGTTTGATTCCCGGTCAAGGGCACATACCTCCCTCCATCCCTCTCTCCTTCCCTCCCTTTCACTCTTTCTAAAAAAGAAAAATGAAAAATATATCCTCAGGTGAGGATTTTATTTTTAATAATAAAAAAAAATTTCTGGAGGAACGTGCTCTGATAAAATGAGGGAAGAGACAAGAGAGAAAAGGCTGGGATCGAGCAAAGAGGAAAGCAGCAGAAAGAGTTCCGGGAGACCGCGGGGAGGAGGCCGGGAGACCTGGGGAGGCGGCCAGCAGACCTGTCTGTTCTCCAGGAACTGAGTGCTCGCCTGATATGTCTGAACAGTTAGGGGAAAACTCATAACAGCATGATCTGAGGGAGCGGTTACAAAGAGTTCAGGAAATACGTATAGTAAGTTAGGCAAATGAAAAAGAGACTGATTAATTCTAGAAAGAAAATGTAGCCTTACAATCTTTGAGGAGCATTAACTACATAGTTATAATAATGTAAACATTTATTACTGATCTAGCCAAATACTGTGATAGAATGGTAAGAGGGGGGTGAGGGAAGGGAGATGGGGCAGAGGTATAAGAAAGCTAATTTCTGTCCTGGCTGGGTAGCTCAGTGGTGAGTGTTGTCCCCATACACCAAGGTTGCGGGTTCGATCCCCCGTCAGGGCACATACAAAAATCAACCACTGAATGCATAAATAAGTGGAACAACAAATCAATGTTTTTTCCCTCTTTCTCTCTCTCCTTCCCTGTTTCTTTCTGAAATCAATTAATAAGATTTTTAAAAATGAAAGCTAAATTTACCAATAGATGATGTTTAAAAGTAAAAAGTAACGAAAGAGTGAATTTTATGGTACCTGAATTTTATCTCAATTTCAGTTTTTGAAAAACTGAACAAATTTTAAAAACAGAGCAGCATAAGCATATTATTCAGAAATAAGGCAGTAAATGCTAGAAGAATTGATGACTAACCGTCATTATTACCCTACAAGGCTTAAGTAAAGGCAACCCAAGTCGTTAGCACTTTAGAGAAAGATAAAAAGGGGCTGTGTTATCTGATAGCAGAGAAAGCCCCAGTGGATTCAGTGGGAACAAGAAATCCAAGTAGAAGAGGCCGAAAGAACCTACGGGGGAGGAAGTCACAGTGACCTTGGGGAGGCCTGGCTGCTCACAGCTGTGGAATGGGGAGCCTGGGCCATTTTTATGGGACTCTCAGGGGTCATGGTGACCCAGAGTTTGAAGGCATTCAGTTCCATGGGGATCCCCTCACAGCAGAACACAGGTCCTCCATGACGCAACAACCCCCATCCCTACACCCATACGTGGGCTCACACAAGCGCCTGCGCACGCACACCTCCTACCCCCAGCCTGGGCTTAAGGCTCACCTGGGCTTGAGGTAGCTGAGTGCTTCTGAGAACTGGTTGGTGAGGAAGAGGTCCAGGGCGGTCATGCACTGGTCCAGGGCCTCATGGAGGCTGTTCACGGGCGTCCTGATGAGAGAGACACGGGGTGTGAGACGGGGACTTCACCCCCACCCCTGGCTGGAACAGAGCCTACAGGGACCACTTGAGCTCCTTGGTGGGCCTTGGAGGCCTGTCATGAGCTCCTCCAGGCTGCCCCTGGGACACAAGGACAATTTGGACCCACCTCTAAGTGTTCCTAAAGTGGGAGGAGAGCAGAATGGGGTGACATCTGAGAATGGGGAGAGGTTTGGGGGAGTGAGGGCAGGGGAGCCAGGAAAGCTCAGAAATAAATTTATCTTACCTATCACGAGGGTAAAGAGAATCTTTGTGGCCCCTCTGACCCATTGGGCCTTTCTGCCCCCCTTCTGGGGGGCACAGCCCACCCACTAAATTCCACGTCCGTCCCTTTCTCCCTCCTTCTCCAGGCCTTCTCCTGCCCCCTCGGGCCTGCACTCTAGAACTCAGAGACACTGTCACAATGGGCTCCAGTGGGCGGAACGTAGGAGCTGCCAGGGGCCTTTTATGCTCAAGGGTCACCTTCCCAGTGGCATCGCCAACATATTCCAGTCCTTACACTTCTCTATAGCTCTTATAGAGAAGTGTATATACTTTTAACTTATTTTTGTGTTTATAGTCTGTCTCCACTAACATATAAGCCTCCTGAGGGCAGGAAGCTTTGTTTTGTTCACTGCTGTATCCCCAGCATCTGGTATCTTGGTACAAAGTGAGTTTTTTATAAATATTAAGTGAATGAATGAAGAATCTTAGGCTAGGAGAACAAACCTCTGACCTTTCTGGACCTCAGCTTCCCCATTTGAAAATGAGAGATGAAACTAGGAGATCCCAAAGTCCTATCTGAAGATGTTGAAAATGTCTCTTCTCAAGATGTCTCTTTTGAGTGAGCAAAGGTTCCAAAATGGGCCTCGACGATCTTGCTGAAAGGAGATCCTTTTCCCCCAAAAAAGAGAAAGTCCTTTCTCCACCAGGTGAACTCCTACACATACCTTAAGGCCCAGCTCTAATGTCTCCCCCTCTGTGATGCATCAACAGATCTTCCCAGGCAAATTGTTTAGAAATGAACTCTTGTTTGTTCTCCCACATCTGTTCTCACCCAGTCTGTAATGACACCCCTCTACCCAGGGCTTGAAGCCAGAAATCTGATAGTCATCCTTCACAGATCCCTCTCCCTGGCCTCTCTCACCTACTCCATCCCTACGCCCTATCAATTCTCCCTTCTGAACAACTCTTAACCCACCCCTCAGTGCCCAGTGCTCCCGTGCAGGCCCGTCTGACGGGGACTCCCCCTCCACTCCCGCCCCTCTATCCCTTCTCTCTCTGTGTTAGACCATTTTATTCTATATTTCATGTCTCTCAACTCTACCTCTTTGACTCTCTCTGTTAGAGTCTGAGTAATTTCTTTAGCTTTTCCATTTCACGAATTCTCTTCAGATGTGTCTAATCTGCTACTTATCCTGTCTACTGAGTTTTTCATTTCAGTGGTTCTAGTTTTCATCTCCAGAAATTCCACTTTGTTCTTTTTCAAATCTGCTTGGCCATCGTGGGCAGTATTTTCTTCCCTGCTTTGTTGTTCCAAGTCCACTTTTGATTTCTTTACACATTTTAAACACCATTATTTATAGTCTGTGTGTCAGTTCTGGTATCTTAGACTCCCAGAGAAACTAATTCTGCTGTTTCTTGCTTCTGGCGCCTGTCGCTCACAGTGACTTGGTTGCTGGTGTGTTTCATATTTTTACCGTGAGCTCCTATTTGATGAGATCATCTGGGAAGAGGACATGTTCCTCGAGGGAGGATTTTCACTCATTTCTCCAGGTTCCCTGGGGCACCACCACCCTGAGACCACTTCAGTTACTTTTTTAATGTAACATTTTCAGGACCACAAAGGTAGTGTGCTCTCAAACCCAAAATCTGTGTGAGGGCGACATGTGTGACTCTCTAGGGAGCCTTCCTTTCCCCACCAGAACGGCTGTCTCCCTCTGCGGCGGTGGATATTTTCCCTGGTCAAGGCCCCTGTTTGCGGAGGCCACCCTTTGAAGGTCCCAGGTTCCTGTGGGGGCGGAGGCTCTGTCCCAACCCCAGGCTCTGTGGGTGGGCAGGCCCGGGGCCTTCTTTCCCATCCCTTGAGTGGCCGTTAAAACTCAGAGATCTGGGTTCCTGGAACCTGTAAATCCCCCCAGGTGGCTGTGGCTTCAGCTCACTTACCAGCCTGGTTTGAGCTCCCTCTTTATTGTTGGCTCAAGAGGATTTCTGTTACTTCTGTAGAAGCTCAGGAATGTATTTTAAAGGATGTTTGTTGTAAGCCATCCAGCCTCTCGGTGGTTTTTTTTTAAGGAAGAATGTTGGAAGTGTTATTCCCTCTAATCTGTCCCTCTCATAACAGCCGAGACTTGAACTCCTTCACTGTCTTCTCGTTACTCTGAGGATAAAGCCCAAGTTCCTTTCTGTGGCCAAAACGGCCCCACGCCAAGCGGCCCTGTCCCTCTCTTCATGAGGCGGGGACAGTGTCTTCCTCTTGCCCAGGGCCTAGCTTGGTGTTCAGCCCACCATCTCAGCTGGATGACTCAGTGGAGAGCAGTGAGCACAGTGGCCCCCGTGTTTAACTGGCACTCCCCGCTGAGCCCTCACGAAGCCATGGGAAGAGAGGTTATTCCCCACTGCAGGTGAGGAGGCCGAGGCACGGAGGAGAGGCGACCTGGCCAAGGTCACATGCCCAAACACGGGTTCTAACCCGAGATTCTGCGTGAGCCAGCGCCCACCAGCTCAGCCCAGGGAGTCACGTCTGTTGTCCTGGCTTAGGTGCGTCTCTACACAATTCCAGAGCCAAGCCTGCCTCCCATTGCTGTGCAACACCCCTACCACCACCTGCACCCCCTTACCCAGGAACAACCTGGAGAGAAGGAGGCACAGACAGATGGACAGACAACACAGAGGCACATATTCCCAGCGCCTCTTCCACTTCACTGCAGTGAGCTGGGTCTGAGCTGACCTCTCTGGGCGGGAAGCTGCTTTGGGGAGGCCCTGGGACTGATCTCCTCCCATCCTCAACCCCCTTACCCCCCACCCCTCAAATACCCACTAATCTCTGGCTCTGGGCCAGGCACAGGGACACAGAGCAGGCCCAGGAACTCATGGTCTATAGCAGTGGTTCTCAACCTTCCTAATGCCGCGACCCTTTAATACAGTTCCTCATGTTGTGGTGACCCCCAACCATAAAATTGTTTTTGTTGCTACTTCATAACTGTAATGTTGCTACTGTTATGAATCATAATGTAAATATCTGATATGCAGGATGTATTTTCATGGTTACAAATTGAACATAATTAAAGCATAGTGATTAATCACAAAAACAATATGTAATTATATATGTGTTTTCCGATGGTCTTAGGCGACCCCTGTGAAAGGGTCGTTCGACCCCCAAAGGGGTCGCGACCCACAGGTTGAGAACCGCTGGTCTATAGGAAGGACAGTTGCAGGCAGAGGCAGTGACAGCCACTCGGCTGAGGAGGCCCAGAAGTGGGGGTGGGACTCTCAAGGAAGCTTTCTGGAAAAGATGGCACTGAATTGAGGACAAGATGAAGAAAAAAGTCCAAGAAGGGGACAGAGTGTGAGCAAAGGGCTGGAGGCATACCCGCGTGAGGAGGAGGCAGGAGCTGTAGGGCAGGGCAGGAAGACAGGCCTCTGGACAGCCTGCTGGGTGGATGGTGGACTGGGGGGGTGGGAGGGTGAGGGGGGCGCGGCTGTTCTGTCTGGGAGCACTGGAGGCTAGGGACAGCTGGCCCCATTGATTTAATAACAGCACTAACAACCCCCACCACTGCCATGGAAGTATCACTAAGTTATCTAAATTGATGACTAATTATTTCACTCAATCCTCCCACCAGTCCCAAGAGGCAGGTGCTCTTATCTACATTTGAAAGATAAGGAAGTGAAGACAGGAGCCTATTCTGCTCCTCTCAGGAGCCTGGAAGACAGAAATGCTTCCTGCAAAAGCAACCTCACCAGGTCTTTCCCCTCCGGGCTGAGGTCCCCACTTGTCCGCAGGCTTCCCCTGCGTCTTCAAGGGCTTTCTGCTGAGGCCACCGCGCTGGGCCAGGCCAATGTATTCCTGAGCTCCCAAGTGGTGACGGTAGCCCCTCCAGTGTGCCTTGGGGAAACAGGATTGGAGGGGGAACTAAGCTGATGGAGCATGAAGCAGGGCTGGTGACCAATGGCAGGAGCCTTGGTGCAGTGGGGGAGGGGCTCTTCACTTCCTGCTTCACCATTCAGGGGGAGCGTTGGCTCAGAGGGTAAGGCTATGTGTCTATGGGGAGCTAGCACTTCTAAAGTGATCTTTCTAAATTGCAAATATGATTGTGACTCTATTTCCAAAGACTCCCCTTTAGCTCTGCATAAAGCAAATATCACGGGTCATGGAGTGAGGTGGCTGGCGTGGCCTAGTGCAGCGTGACATTCAAGAGGTTTGAAGGCAGACAACCCTGGACTGCAGCTGCAGCTCAGCAATTACTTATGGGAGAAACCTGGCCAGGTGCTTTACCCTCTATAAGCCTGTTTCCCCAGCAAGAAAACGGGAGGCGGGGAACAATGAGACAATGTAAAGCACAAGAAGAAGCACACAGAAAAAGTTAGTGACTAGTATTTTCCCCCCCAAGATTACATATTTCCATCATTTCTTTTATTGAGGAGCTCTACTTTTATAATGAAACGAAGTAACTTTAAAAGATTCCGTATACACTGTACTAGTTAGTACATATCCTATGACCCCTATGATTATATCCTATGTCAGTGATGGCGAACCTTTTGAGCTCGGCGTGTCAGCATTTTGAAAAACCCTAACTTAACTCTGGTGCCGTGTCACATATAGAAATTTTTTGATATTTGCAACCATAGTAAGACAAAGATTTATATTTTGATATTTATTTTATATATTTAAATGCCATTTAACAAAGAAAAATCAACCAAAAAAATGAGTTTGCGTGTCACCTCTGACACGCGTGTCATAGGTTCGCCAT